ATATCAATTATATGCTTATGAGACATGTTGGAATGTTAAACTAATTACGGTATGTGAAAATCAAGACTTGCATAAAAAATATCACAATATTAGAGACAGTGGCGTCATTTTTCCTCAGAGCTTTCAGCTCTTTGATTATGTCTAAACAGTGGTGTGAGGCTAACACTTGGCCATCTAGTGGTTTAGTCAGGTGTTTTTCACCATCGAACTTCAAATTAAAGTTTCCTACGACTTGGATTATTATTGACAGCACAGAATATCCCGTGATAAAACCTAATGCTCCTAGAGCTCAGGCAACCTTTTCATCAAATAAAAACAGAAACACTGAAAATTCTTGAATGTTCGACACCTGGTGGTTTAGTCAACTATGTCTCTATGTCACATAGAGCGAATTATTGGACTTGGCAAAACATACAAAATTCTAATAAATCCTATGAATGGAACTGAAACAAAACTTTCATCTGAAATAACATTTAGTTGTTTAATGTTGTGTAATTTTAGAACTTGTATTATGCCAAAGGATGCATAAATAAAAGTGACGCAATGAATTTTGTTCTGATATATATATATTTACAATTACATGCACATGTAAATTGTAATGCATATAAAAATAAGGAGATGTGGTAAGATTTTCAGTGAGTTTATCAAACTAAAGTGCATAAGAAATGGGTTTAAGCAGTTACAGGTGTTACTGTCACCGTACAATCTCCAACAATGAGAAAAACTCGTACCCTGTAAAAATTTTCAGAGATCTTACAACTAAGTTTTGTTGTCTCACCTTGACTTTGGTGAATTTTTTATATCTGTTGATGTAAATATAAAAAAGAAGATGTGGTATGATTGCCAATGAGACAACTCTCCACACATGCACAAGAGACCAAATGACACAGAAATTAACAGCTATAGGTCACAGTACGGCCTTCAACAATGAGCAAAGCCCATACCGCACAGTCAGCTATAAAAGGCCCCGAAATGACAATGTAAAACAATTCAAACAAGAAAAATAACGGCCTATTTTATGTAAAAAAAATGAACAAATATAACAAATATGCAACACATAAACAAACGACAACCACTGAATTACACTTTTACAGGCTCCTGACTTGGGACAGGCACATACATGTACATACAGAATGTGGCAGGCTTAAACATGTTAGCGGGATCCCAACCCTCCCCCTAACCTGGGACAGTCGTGTAACAGTACAATATAAGAAAGAACTATAAAAATCAGTTGAAAGAGGCTAAACTCATCAGATGGATAAATACAAATACAAGTGGACATGGTCGGGTAGTTGTACATCCAAACAACAAAAAGACACTAAGTACAGATCTGAGAGTACTTGCAGTTACTGACAGCTAGTTCAAAGCCACTAACAACTGATAAAAAAATCTTGCATCTAAGACTAAATTATCAATCCGTAAGCTCCCTTTAGAATTTTATAAATTTTAGATTTTACATTTCTGAGTTATGGGGTTTTATTCATTAAAAAAGGGGGGATTTTCCAGTTTTTGGACAACACTCAAAAATGCTTTAAGCAGTTCACATGAAACTTTGGTGAATTATTTATAGCTATTGATGTAATCTCCCTATTGATTTTCATAAATTTCAAATATGACATTGAGAAGAAATTGAACTTTACTACTATAGTCTGGCAACAGATTTATTAAGTATTGCGCAACAGCACAGTGTATTGCACAACAGCAAGAAATCTTTAATTGAATATAAATTCAATTCATATAACCGATTTCAAGTTCATTGACTACATTTATTCAGAAACTATAATATGTCAAATATTTAATTACAATCCAAATTCAGACCTGTATTAAGCTTGAATATTGTGTCCATTTTTGCCCCAGCTGTTCAGGGTTGGACCTCTGCGGGTGTATCCAGCTGCGCTCAGCGAATCAGTTTATTTCTTAATTAAGAACTCCTTTTTTCATTCATAAATTACTTTATGCTTGGAAATATAATTTTGCTTGGAGTTGAAAGAGTTGACATGTTGCAATGTACATTTACTCTACATAGTTCTATGGTACCAAATCAAAAGTTTATATAAAAGAAAGAAGTCAAAGATTTCCCATCATAGTTTAGTTACATACATTTTTTTTGTACCTGAGGTCGTTGAATATAGATCATTATATAAATAAGGAGATGTGTTATGATTGCCAATGAAAAAACTAAGGATTTTCTTATCCAAGGAATAGATTACCTTAGCCGTATTTGGCACAACTTTTTGGAATTTTGGGTCCTCAATGCTCTCCAACTTTGTACTTGTTTGGCTTTGTTACTATTTTGATCTGAACGTCACTGATGAGTCTTATGTAGACGAAACACACGTCTGGCGTATTAAATTATAATCCTGGTACCTTTGATAACTAATTTGACTATAAACATAGATAAAAAAGGTACAAACTGGACATAATGCACTAGTTCATAAACAAGTGAGAACAATCGCCTTCATATAGTGCTCAGAATATGACATTCATAAAACTTGTTCAATATCATTAGAGAACTCTAAATCTTAAATACTGAAAGCCACCTCTGATAAGTACACTGTACTATGCAAAATAATGATATAACTGGACTTAAAATACACACAACCTGTAATTAACTGCCTTTACAGCACTTTCGTGCTTTGATTATATTAAGATATCCTATTATCTGTGTTTGCTGGTAGTGTTTTTTCAAGACAATGAGCAATCCAATAGGAAACAAATGTGCTCCTTTTCACTGATCTATTCTTTATATAAGGCAGATAAAAGCATCGGGGTGTAAGTTCAAAGTTTTGAGAACCTGAACAGTGATTTATATAGTTGCAAAACAACATACTAATTTAAATACTAAATCTTATCTGTGAGAGCAAAAAAAGTTGACATTAAGCAAGGATTTCAACCCTGAGTTAATCGAATTTTCAATGGTTATTTCTACGGAGAATACCAATATCTTTTTAACATAAATTAGAAGGGAACTGCTAAAATTGTTTTGACAATCTCTTGTTATTCATCATATATGTATATATATGAATGTGCTGTGCAGGTATAGTCTAGTTATTTTTTTCATGTATATATATGAATGTGCTGTGCAGGTATAGTCTAGTTATTGTTTTCATGTATATATATGAATGTGCTGTGCAGGTATAGTCTAGTTATTTTTTTCATGTATATATATGAATGTGCTGTGCAGGTATAGCCTAGTTATTGTTTTCATGTATTTATATTGTGGTGTAAAGCTCTGTTAACCATATGTTTATATCTCTGAAATCTATTTCTCAGGGAATAGATTTTTTTTTAATCAACATAAAGTTCATTTGATCTCAGTTCTTTAATGGTCAAAATTCAACTATTATGTCAATTTTCTTCCAGAACTAGAAATTAAAGAAACAACAGACACGGCTTTCTCCGCCTCATATTTAGACTTATACCTCAAATTTGACAAAGCAGTCATCTCAGTACCAGAATCTATGACAAACGAGACTATTTTAATTTTGACATTATAAATTTCCCCACCTTAGCAGCAATATACCAACTTCACCTGCATATGGGATATACATTTCCCAACTCAATCGGTATTCAAGAGTTTGCAGCAGCTACTCAGACTTCATAAAATGTCACCAGTGTCTGAGCAGAAAGTTGATGAGCCAAGGTTATGTCAAAGAACGTCTGGTCCTTTTTCCAAAAAAGTTCATCAAAAGATACCTTGTTGATAAATATTCTGTATCAAATTCACAAATAATACATGATGGTATTGAAGTATAGATTCTAGGTACTGACATTGTTTATCATCTTAATTACGTGTTATAGTGTTCTTTTTATTTGTCTTTGTATATCTTTAACCTTTACTATTTAGTTCATTTTTGTAAGTTGGTTGACCGTTATGGAATAACCGTTTCACAGATGATATCGGATATGTTCCTTATGTTGTAACTACAATACCCTCCCTTTTCACGAATATGACTTACCAAATTAGACTATTTACCGGATTTGTAATAGCATAAGCAACACGACGGGTGCCACATGTGGAGCAGGATCTGCTTACCCTTCCGGATCACCTGAGATCACCCCCAGTTTTTGGTGGGGTTCGTGTTGCTTAGTCTTTGGTTTTCTATGTTGTGTCATCTGTACTATTATTTGTCTGTTTGTCTTTTTATTTTTGGCCATGGCGTTGTCAGTTTGTTTTCGATCTATGAGTTTGACTGTACCTCTGGTATCTTTCGTCCCTCTTTTAGCATGGCTTGGTATTTATACATCCCACTATTGTGTTATTGTGCTAGTCATTTTTGCTTATGTGCTTTGTCTATAGTGTGTCTACATGCCATTTTGTTTTTCTTTGTTGAATTTGTTGTTTGTTTTTAAGAGTGATTAAGATTATAATAGAATGTTGACTGCTGTACCCCAGTTTTTGACATTTTTTACTATTGTGTCTTTGTTTTGCTCACACATTGTTGTCAATATAATGGAATTTTATGCAACTGTCATACAAGTGAGAGGTTTAGCTAGCTATAAAACCAGGTTTAATCCACCATTTTCTACATAATTTAATGCTTGTACCAAGTCAGGAATATGACAGCTGTTTTCAATTCCTTAGATGTGTTTGAGCTTTAGATTTTGACATTTGTTAAGTGACTTTCTGTTTTGGGTTTTCTTTGGAGTTCGGTAATTTTGTTATTTTACTTTTTTCTTGTTTTCCTCTGAATTTTTCAATGTGACTTCACAAAGAAAAAACTCCTGATGAAGTAACACAAAAAGAACACATTTGTTTGCAGATTTCATAGATTAACCCTTTAACTGTCTCAGAGTGGACAAATATTGTATGATCCTCGTTGCAGTGGTATATGTTATATTTATGGAATGTGGGGACAGTTTACAGATCTATAACATTAACTAAATAACCACCCTTACTGACTAGAGCATTAGTCTTATGATGGACAGATACTACACAGGTTAATCTGGATAACATGCTAAGTAATGGAACAATATATATATATAACAAAACAAGAATATATTCTGATAATGCTTTTAATTCTCAATCTGCTGTTAATCTAAATCCAACATAGTTTCTTCAAGACAAAAACAATGTAAAAATCTCTTAAAATCAGACCTCAGTTTAACTCACTAAATATTTCTATCGTACGTTTTTTAAATGAAAAGGGGTATAGGATTTCATTCCTATAATAAAAAGAAAAAATGTCAACATTATAAAATTATCTTAAGTAACATTGTAGGGTCTTATTTGTATGATTAAAAAACAAGATATTTTTGGTCAAAAACAGCTATAGGAATGCCTGAATCTGTATGAGTCTCCTTACAACACACAGCATGAATATTGTAAGTACCTTCCATATATTATTACCATTAAGTTAACATCTCAATGCTGTTGTGGTTTGCATATTTATGATAAAACCCTTGGTTGACATAAACTCATGAAACTCTAAATATGAATATTACCATCACAAATTAATCATAAAATAAAATAAATTTTCAGTAAAAAAATTTCAAATGCAAAAATTAAATCTTAATATTTTGAAACCAAAATTCTAATTAAATGCTGCAAGAAATTGAGTCAATGATTCAAGGAAATCTATTGCAACCTAAACTAGAAGTAAGTTTTTCAAATTAAATCAAATTTTGACAAAGACAAAAATATATTAAAAGACAATTAAATTATAATAAATGCTATATAAAGTTTAATCTGTGTTTATTGGAACAAAAACTATTAATTTTATAAATATAGATTCCCATCCATTTCTAGTATAAAAAATAAATAAACAAATAAGAAATACCAATATTTGGTACAATAAATAGAACAAAAACTAATGCTATCACAGTCTAGCTTGTTTGTGTATCTACATGGATATTACAAATCTGGACACATGTTCATAAAACTGCTTCCAGACTGGGCATGACTTAAAGAGCTCAACATATGTTAAGACATGGGTCTGTTGTCTAAAATCAATTGTTGACCTCTAAATAGATATCTTTTGGTTGTTGTGTTGCTGTCATTATTTCTGTTAGAATTTAATAAGGTTCTGTCAAGTGGTACTAAACTTTTCATCCTGAAGCAAAAAGATTGCTTAGATAATTTAAACCATAACTCTTGAACAGTAAATGCCAGAGGTGTCAACATCCAATTTAACCTGTATTTTATGTATGATGATATGATGTTAAATCTTAATAGATTCTGTGAAACGGTACTTTCATTATCATCAGGAAAACCAAAATTCCTAATTTTTAATATAGTTGAGGGCATTGCTCTTGAACCGCAAATTTCAAAGGTGTGAAAATCCTACTTCAACTGTATTCTATGTTCCATGGCATTACTATTTACCCTACCTCTTTATGATTGGGTATAAAAAAAATCTTAAAATTTTGAGGGGTTTAGCACCTTTTGGTGTCTTTAAAGCTCAAGAAATGTAAAAATCTGTTGACAAATAAAGATAGGGATGAACACAATGAAAAATCCCATTACGACTGAAGAAAAACAATGAAGATATACAATCAAAATGATAACCCATTCTTTCAATAATACAAACATAGATGAGTTTTATTTCTAAACAAATACATGTAACAGCACTACAAATCAAGATTCACTGTGAAACAATTCTAATTTTCATTCATGAATTACACATTGCATAATTACTTCATCCTATATTCTCTTTATTTCTGTTAAAGTGATCCGAGATATTTTGTTTTAAATTATATTAAAGAGAAATATGAAAGTAATAGATTAAATGTTCCAAATTTTATGTATTTCAAGGAATACAAAATAGTTTTTGTATAATATTACTTACTTTGTAGTAAACAACAAACAGAAAACCTGAAAGAATTCCTCCTCTCATAAAATATTGATTGATTGATTGTGTTAAACCCCACTTTCAACACACTTGGCTATATCATGGCTACAAGTTTTTATTGATGGAGAAAGTGGAAATATCTGAAGAAAACCACAGACTTTCAGCAGGAAGACTGGCAATCCTAGTCATTCAAAATCAGAGTTGACTGCACCTTGCCACAAGTGTGTTCCATCTCACAACCTGAGACAGGCTTACTAAGTGATCACTATACACTATAGACTACCGGTACTTTAACCACTCAGCCACCGAGGTTTCCATAAAGAATGTAATACAGGGAACTTCCGTATATGTACTTCGGTGGAAATGTATACATTTTCATTTTCATGAAATTTGTAGTAGGTATAAATAAGACTTGAAAATCTTAATGCTTTATGGGGATATTTACAAATACACACATTAAACACACAACTTCAGTTTTACTGGTATTTACTTAAAATGCTGCAAAATTAAATATATATGACAAAAAGTAAAAATACAGTATTTAAAATACATCTATGAAATAACACCATCTTAAATCCAAACTGTATCAAACAAAAAAAATGATAATTTAAAAAAAAATGGCAAACAAAAATATTTCTAAATGAAGCATTTTAGTACAAGTCTAGAAAAAACTTCAATAAAATACACCCAATGAAGAATGTAACCATAGAAACCTAATCATTTAACATTCATAAAACCACACCCAGAAATAACATGGTATCCAGAAATAACATGGTATAGACAAAACTAAATGGCAATGGTATGATACAGGCAAGGAAACCTCTAAACTTGTTGGTAATGAATACATGACAAAACCAAAATGATCAAATCACAAACACATTTTCTTGCAACTAATTAAAACTGGTATCTCTCAACTTCATAAAAAGGATATAAACTAAAATAACAACTGCTCATAAAAATGTGCAACGTGAATAATTTTACCAGTATTTAGCTGTCATTTTCTGATATAAAATCTTTGGTTCATGTACAAGGATCAGGGAAATTTTTTCACACAATTTCTGTCATTTTGAGATGACTTGAAAGTTGGGGTCTTTTTTTCAAACTGTCAAATTCATACTTGAACAAGAAAGTTGTATGGACCGTTATTTACTCTATGGCATGTTTGAAGAACACATAAAAAGTGATTAGTGATCATTAGCCAATATAAAGTACACAAAGCAACCTTCCAAGGATATTACCTTATATATCACACCTTGTCATCAGGATAATCAATGCTTCAACTCATAGGTAATACGACAACAGTACCTTGGATATTCAATATATATAACTGTTTTATAGATATAACAGAGTTAGCTAATTATTGGAAAACTTGTAGAGAATGAATGCAATACATTTATAGAATATGACTTGTTATGCTAAATTCTTACACTACCATTAGATATAGGGACACTAATAAATATACCAATTAACAATTAAAAAACTGTAATAAAAGACTTTATTCTGAACAATATTTTATGAGTATTGAAATTTGTTCTTCAAAATTCTGTCATGAGTAAATTTGGTCATTTGATATAAGAATAGAAATAATAAGAAAAGCTAGTAATCTTTCCCTCAACTATGGAAACATGTTTTAAAGTTTTCATACTTTGATACATGTAAGATGGTGCAATGAATTCAATAACTGCAGCAACTGATGTCCCATGGAGAAAACTAAGAGGCATTTAGTCTAATGCTGTTGTTCTTATTAGGTTTTTTCAATGCTGTTAGCTTATAGCAAATATCACTCATGTCTTTACGAATTATAAAGCAAGGACTCACTTGAGAAAACAACAATCTGATAGACTTCCAGTAAAATGTTTATCAATTATCAGTATTCATGATACAATCTCAACTGATCAGAAAAGGAACACTGAACTAGGAAATCATTTCAACTACAGTGCAGCAGACCTATTGTATGTAATTGATATAAATAACAAAGCAACTAAACTGATAGATACTTAACAATGCCTATGTTAAATAAAGATATTAAATAAAATAAATAAAGTTTCTATTACATAAATATAAACATCACAATGGCACATCGGATTAGTATATTTGAAACCTGCTTTTAGCAAATCCACAAAACGTATCATATAGAAGAATGACTAAATTATAAATACAAGTTTTAAGAATGTAACCTTAAATTTTCACAATATATGTTTTAATAGGTTACATTCAGTCCAGTTTTCAATTAATTCTACAAAACAAATAAGTCCCTGTTTTAAAGATATTGATATGTTAACTAAAATACCAAATCTTTTCATCTATAAAAAAATCCTCAATTGAGCAATTAACTTTATATACCTCATAAAACAAAATGCCCTTAAAGTACATCAATGTTATCAGTTACAATTTAAACTTTACACTTTTATACAATATATCACAGATAAAAAATATCTTTCCTGTATCAAGTGAAATCTAGCTTAGAGAATGTTCTGTTATGATGCTATCCTTCTATCCAAAACACAGTCAGTTTACTAGGAGATGGTTTTTGTCGACCAGATTTTGATGATTCCACCTTTCTTCCATGATCATAAGGGATTATAACACCGGAGGTATCCTGAAATCAACAATTATTTTATTAACAGATTTTTATATTGAAAATATATGTCAGTACTTTAATTTGAACATTAAAATAATGATATAACCTTTAAGTTATTACAAGCTTTAGATCCTACAGAATATTAGGTGTATCAGGTCATTTACCATGTGACCTAACAAGAAATAAATCTCAGTAAAACGTAAGCATTGAATCCCACAGAATATTTGATGTGTCTGGTGATTTACCATGTGACCTAACAAGAAATAAATCTCAGTAAATCAAAAACATTTGTATCATTTTTATTAACATATCCAATGAAATACATGTCTTATAAGTGTTGGTGCACCTTGTTTTCATATAATCACTGTAGGATCAGGAAGTTATTTCAAGATGAAGAACAAGAAAATACTATTATCTAGTCTTATTGTGATATTCATGTACATCATGTACATGTATATACAACAAGAGTGCACACGCTGAAATGTCTCGCCTTCTTTACTAATCATTGATATTATGTTGATAGTCCTAAATATAAAGCTTTATTACAACTGTCACATAAACTTAACATTAACCAAGTAAACTAAACATTGACCAATGAACCATGAAAATGAGGTCAAGGTCAGATGAACCATGCTAGGCAGGCATGTACAGCTAACAATTCTTCCATATAACAAATATAGTTGACCTTTTGCTTATAGTTTAAGAAAAACAGACCAAAACACAAAAACTTAACACTGAGCAATGAACCTTGAAAATGAGGTCAAGGTCAAATAAAACCTGCGTGACTGCCAAATAGATCATAAAATATTTCCATACACCAAATATAGTTGAACTATTGCATATAGTATTAGAAAAAAAGACCAAAACTCAAAAAACTTAACTTTGACCACTGAACCATGAAAATGAGGTCATGGTCAGATGACACCTGCCCGCTAGACATGTACACCTTACAATCATTCCATACACCAAATATAGTAGACCTATGGCATACAGTATAAGAAAAACAGACCAAAACACAAAAACTTAACTATAACCACTGAACCATGAAAATGAGGTCAAGGTCAGATGACACCTGCCAGTTGGACATGTACACCTTACAGTCCTTCCATACACCGAATATACAAGACCTATTGCTTATAGTATCTGAGATATGGACTTGACCACCAAAACTTAACCTTGTTCACTGATCCATAAAATGAGGTCGAGGTCAAGTGAAAACTGTCTGACGGGCATGAGGACCTTGCAAGGTACGCACATACCAAATATAGTTGAACTATTGCATATAGTATTAGAAAAAAAGACCAAAACTCAAAAACTTAACTTTGACCACTGAACCATGAAAATGAGGTCAAGGTCAGATGACACCTGCCCGCTAGACATGTACACCTTACAATCATTCCATACACCAAATATAGTAGACCTATGGCAAACAGTATAAGAAAAACAGACCAAAACACAAAAACTTAACTATAACCACTGAACCATGAAAACGAGGTCAAGGTCAGATGACACCTGCCAGTTGGACATGTACACCTTACAGTCCTTCCATACACCGAATATACAAGACCTATTGCTTATAGTATCTGAGATATGGACTTGACCACCAAAACTTAACCTTGTTCACTGATCCATGAAATGAGGTTGAGGTCAAGTGAAAACTGTCTGACGGGCATGAGGACCTTGCAAGGTACGCACATACCAAATATAGTTATCCTATTACTTATAATAAGAGAGAATCTAACATTACAAAAAATCTGAACTTTTTTTTCAAGTAGTCACTGAACCATGAAAATGAGGTCAAGGACATTGGACATGTGACTGACGGAAACTTCGTAACATGAGGCATCCATATACAAAGTATGAAGCATCCAGACCTTCCACCTTCTAAAATATAAAGCTTTTAAGAAGTTAGCTAACGCCGCCGCCGCCGTAGCCGCCGCCGCCGCCGCCGCCGCCGGATCACTATCCCTATGTCGAGCTTTCTGCGACAAAAGTCGCAGGCTCGACAAAAAATGTATCAAGTTTTTATTTATAGGCAAAGATAATCAAATTTCCATATTTTCTTCCACAAAAACAGTGAACTACCATAAAACCTTATTTATATTTGTATGTGTAAATCTTCACCAGAAATTGATTTAAAGTGACCAAATAAAGTGACAAATCTACATCTATTAAAATCAACAAACAACATAAAAACATAAATAAATATTCTTTAAACAATCTACAACAATCCAATCAATCTATGTAACCTATACCCCTTACACCAACCCCTTTAAATTCAGAAACTTAGAGATAAAATTGATGTAAATAATTGTAGATATGTAGAGTTGAATGTTTTTTAAACATTAACAGACCATTAACAAGTCCCATTACTCCATTAATTTATAATTTAAGGACATAACTGAACTGGGTAAACTAGTAACCTGAGTAAACTCTTATCACAGAGAAAATTTTCCTCACAAAAATAATATTAGAAATGAGTAAGTTCCTATTAAAAACAAACCTGTAAACTTACAAGTAATAACTGAGTGCATTTTATTAAGATTTGGAAACCAAGTCACTCAATCAAGAAATATAAATCATGCAAACATGCTTTTCACATGAAGCAAATTATATGATCTAAAAATTAAGCATGCAAATTCAGTTATACCACAGATACTGATTGTCTTTCAGAATAATTATAGAATAACTAATCGAAGAATTCAAATAGAGAAAAATATTCAACGAGTGACCGAACAACACATTAATTCACGAATGCGCATAGCGCATGAGTTAATTATCAGTGTTGTTCGGTCACAAGTTGAATATTTTTCGATATTTGAATTCTTTGATTAGTTATTCTTTTTATTACATTGGCAAATGGCTTTTTTTAATGAAATTAATGTAGAAAATGTAAGGAACTATATCTTTTTTCTACGCATTCACAATTTGTTTTGATCCAACGTTATCGACGTCTTGACAACGCCTTTTGTTGTATGATGTCAGAGAGTGAAATAACCACGTTTATTTCACATGTGAAATTATCGGTTTTTATTTGACTTGGAAATCAATGTAATTCAATGCTTCCAATGTAATAATTATATATATTTTATCATCAAATAGTATTACTTTGCCATCATTACATGTCCATTGAATGAGCCTGGCTCAAAATGATTGTCCACTGAATATGCCTGACTCAAAACGATGAGGTAGGGTGTAATGTAGTTTTCTAATATCTCTGTGAAATAATTCAGTCATTGACTGCCTTGAGTAAGGGTTAGCCTTAAATCACTTATAATTAGGGATATTAAATCTCTGAAAAATTACTTATCCAGTACTCATTGGTTTCACAAAGAGATACTTCAGTACTTGCTCTGAATAACTACATAATTGGAACACAATTACACATTTTAAGCTTTTTTGGTCATTGCCTAATGAATTTTACACCCTCTACAGTATTAAAGACATTATGATTAGAATTCACTACTGTGAAACCATGTTGTCAGTTTTATCAGTCGTCCCACTGTCTATATCACTCTGCTCAGCTCTTAATAAAATTGCATATCACGGCTTTGTGACGTCAAATAAATTGACCTGGCCTTAATAACTTTGACCCCCTGGACATATCAACAAAGTCAGAATGTATGAACCGACTTTAATAAGTTAATCCGAACTTATCAAGACGTCTTCCGGTTTGCAGTTGAAACAAAGAAAACACTTGTTTCTATCATGCAAAATACACAAATACAACCCGATAAATCGATTATCAGGTTGTCTGCATATTGATATTGTAGAATATCAGCTGCTTGACACAATATGAAGCCTTTCTGAACTCGTACGCTGCGTTCACTCGACAAAAAGCTTCATATTGTGACTCGCAGCTGATATTTTACGATATCAGTATGCAGACAACCTGATAATCGGTACTTAACTGTATGTTGTTCGTCTAATTGGTGGAGCATGTTTGTAGGTTCCCCACAATAAGTCTGTTCAACTTCACATAGCAGTCAATAACTCATTTACAATTTATCCAAAAGGAAGATTTCTGAGGCATTTATATCGAAACTTTAGCACAAATTTCACTTTAATTAATCAATGGCTTCTAATTTATTTTCTGAGAGGAGTTCTCAAGAAAATGTATTTCATGAAAAGAAGGGGACAATGTCTTAAAGGGAAACAGATTAGTCAAGTATCATTTTGGTGTTCAATACTCTGTACTACCAAGCAATACTCAAGTACTTAAGTATTAATTGACGTCCCTACTTGGAATATTATTAGCATGCAGTTTATAACATCTTTTCAGAACAGGCCCTGAGCTAAATAAAAAGCCAACTCTTATGTATTACATAACATAAACTATCTTTCTGGATCACACACACTAATACAAAGAAATTGATATAGAAAACTGCATGTCAATCAAGTGTTTAAGTAAAGCATGTGAATGTAAATAAATATATATAGTAATAATGAAATGGAGCAGTTGCAGTGAATCCCCTCGACCATTTATTTTACACAAGAATTCAAAAACCTATTCATGGAAGTTAAGTACCGGTAGGCTCATTTATTTGTAAAGTTTTAATCAATGTAACCTAATTTTTGAATAAGATTGTCATGATTTTCAAAGAATTGTTCATAGACAAAACTTTTTCTCTTTGACAAACATTTATGTATTACCCTTCAGTTTATGCATAACTTAAGTGATCCAGATCAATAAATACATATAAAATGAACCCAGCACTCTTTTTTCACTACTGATTACCAATGGGCGAGGGGAAAATAATTATAAAGCATCATTAATTCTAAAATTAAAGGCTCATTAATAAAAGTATTTGTATAGCTGCTAATTTGCATTTTATCATTATATAAGTATTTACCATAAAAATAGTGTTTAAACCAGATCTTATTTCATAATGTCACTGAAACTAATATGAAACAGTATTGTATATATCAAAGAGTATTTAGAAAAAACTTTTAAATTCATTTAGTCTTGTGAAAAAAATGTGGGTTACACAAGCTAAGCAAAATCTTGTGCCAAAACTCTGACTTTGACGATACATGTGATGTATACCTGAACAGCCTGAATCTTAGAGTGGGAGCATCACAATCCTACAATAAATATTGTGACAATAATACATTAAACTTTCCTCAACCTGAAACAGTCTTTCTTTGAATCCAACTTCATTTGTCCTAAAGAATTTATAGTAGCTGAATTCTTATAATAAACAATACAGATTCAAGGAACATACTTTTTGTGTTCTAATTCTTGAACACCATTTCTTCTCAGTAACAGATGTTTAAGTCACAAGAGTGGATATGGGTGTTGTTCAATAGTGAAGATCGATAACAATACTTACTGGCTAACAATCAATTCCAGTGTAATTGCTGTATAAGGGACAGGATATATTGGGTATATAGAATGTCACTCAATAGTGTTGCTGTATTTGATAAGTGATACTTACTGAGGCAGATTTTAGTTTGTCTTTGACTTTAGTATATTCACTCTCTGAGGAAGAGAATCCTCTGACAGTTAGAAACTAGTGTTGCTACATATAAATAACCATACTTACTGGAATGGAATTAAGTTCAACTCACCTACAGTTATTGTGATAGCTGTGATAAGTAACACTGGGTCAATAGTGATGATCTAATGAATGATACAGGGGCAGAGATAGATTGACCCTCCTTCTTTACATGTGTAAGGGTGAGAAGACTCTGGGTGCTAACCACATATATGACAAATAATACTCACTGGCGCGGAGTTAAGTTCCACTCTCCTACTGTGCGATAGCTGTCTAAGGGAGAGGAGATTGTCTGGATGTTGGCCAGTAGTGTTGATGTGTCTGAAATCATAAAGAAAATACATAATTATGGTATTACATAATTTTTATTGACATACTGCAGCACTTCTTGGTCAGCTTGCCTTATTATGAAAGCCTTGTATTTCAGTGATGGATAGACATTTGTTTTCCCAAAAATGCAGATTGGCTAGTAAACAGAATAGCATGTGCCTTTTACAAGTCTGTGTTTACATGATTAAAAATATTACTTGAAACATGAGTAAAGATCGTGATTACAAAGTCAAATCTGGCAAAAGCTTTGAAAGGGAGTGATTTAAAACATAAAACAAACTTATTGCTAAGGCAAGTTTCAATCTATGGACTGCACATTCTGTTTGAATCTAAAATGCATGGATGCTCAAGCAACAAACTTCAAAATGTCAACAGTCTGTTGTCAGAACTTCTTTGCAACCACACATAACCAGAAAATTAAAACATAAAACAAATGTTTACAATGTAAAAAAAAAAATTGGTAATTGCAGCACACATGAGAGTATAAAGCCTTAATTTCTGGTTGAAACTGAAATGTATGGATATCAACGCCACAACAAACCTTTTATTTCGTATAAATATATAACTTAATTTCTTTATAAAAACAACTAAAATAACTACGAATTGAACTTATTATTGTTAAACAATACTAAAAAGTCACTGGAGCAACCCTTCCAGTATTTTTATGATAAACTCAAAAAAAATATTATAACTAAAAAAAATAAAAGAACATTTGCTATAAATATGTGCATACATACAATGAATAATTTATGCAAAGGTAACAATAAAAATTAATAACAAAACAAGAGGCTCCCAGGAGCCTGAATCCCTCATATGAATATAAATACTGTTAAAAAAAAGCTGGATTAGTCCCCATAGTCTAGTATATAAAAATAAATTCCATAGTAGCAGCTATACCAGTTGCAGGGTCATTTGTATTACAGGCTTTATTTCTGTTAGAGTGGTATTTGAATACCATATTACATCAATCTTATTCAATTAGGATCATCTATTAATTTTATCACATATTCAAAGAATTTTTCTACACTGGTATAGAAACTGAATCACTGCATTGCAATCAATGATACTAAGTATAGAAACTATGTGTCACTTTATTATACAAACATTTCTAGCTTCAGAAGGAAACCCATTAATACTTTTTAAGTTCATGTAAACCAATTATTTCTTACACATTACAGGGGGGAAAATGCTAATCATTGACTCTTCATTGCTGTGAAGCAGTTCTACTGTCCAACAAAGGAAATAACCTGCTTCAAATAATAATGTTACAGTAAAAATCATGATTCAAGAAATCATTTTCTGGAGAGGGCTAAAGTAATAGCTTGCAAGTTGGATGGTCATTCAGCATTACAGATATAATTCAAACTAGATAATTGGTGACAATTATGGACGAAAGCAATGGATCACAAGCAATGGCATTAGCTCACCTGGCAAAACAGGTCAGGTGAGATAAAAAAGCACCCAATTTTTGTTCAATACAAATAAACAGTAATGCAGTAACAAACAGAGATGAAATAATTCACTCACAGCATTGAGTTCTTTTTTTTATTCAAACCTTTGGTACCTGTCATTCATTTTCAAAATAAAATACAACAAATGAAAGGTTGAGTTATTTATACTTCAAACAATAAATAAGTGAAAAGTTTAATGCTAACTATACTTAAAAGTTTATTGTAAGACTGATGACAGTTAGTGAACAACACAAAACATATGTAAATATCTAATCAACAAACAATATCAAAACTTTGTAAATTTCATACTTTAGTAATAAAACAATGATGTGATCTGGTGACAACTAAGTCACACCTATTTTCTACTTTCGTTGGAAATGTCAGAATAAAGTTCTACTAAATTAAGACAGGTCCTCAAATATCAACCAAGGTAATCTACAGTTCACCTTGTATGCAGAAATGACTTGAGAAACCTTATAAAATAATAACCTTTATTAAATTAGAATTTGACTTCAGTTTCAAATCCCATATATCTGGTTACAATATATATGATTGTAGGTAGCTTATCAGAACAAAGGTTAGTTGAAGTCAATAAAGCATAATGTAGGTAAGAGTGACCTATTTTAGTGGGAGGCAGTCATTTTTCCTTTAGATGCATCCTTACATCAAGTTATGTCACTAAAGATTACTTAATAAATGAGAACTGAACCTGCATAACTTAATATAGTCATAAAGTCGAGGGGAGACAATTTCAACACTTTACAAGAAAACAGTTACTTTTTTACCTCACATGGTACCTATCCAAATGACAAAATAAAGTTTACATCCAAAGAGCTCTTCAGTGAAAATATATAAACTAGCCTACTAATTCAACATCTTTAATTGTACAATAGCAATTTAAACATAAACTTGATTTTTGCAGACTTACAAATTAAGATGGCATGACTTTAACAAGTAAACCATGACCGAGAGAAATGTCAATGCTAATTCAACTGCATACAAACTATCATTGACTTACCATTAGTGGTTCCCCTGAATTGATTTTATCACAAACCTTAATATGTAAACTATGCAAAAGTTTCAAAGTCAAAGAAACCATGACTGATAGTGTGGGCCTTATAATCTCCATGAAATGAGATAGGCTTACTGTGGATTCATTATTATTTGTTGTATACTATTTTCGTGGGTTTAGTGGGTACAGGTGAACCACGAATTCAAATGTTCAACGAATAACAAATTTTCTATAGGCTTTGTATGAAGAGATCGGCAAAACCATGAAATCAAATATCCACAAAAAACGCAAGTTTTCCTCAATCCACGAAAATTGATACCCACGAAAATAAATGAATCCACAGTATGCTAATACGGCTGCATACCAAATAATATTGACTTACACTTAGTGGTTCCCCATAATTTGACATACTCACAAATTTTAACATTTGTTGATGCTGAAGGAAACAGCACGTCTGAGTCCTTCAGAAAGAGCTTGTCAGTATAGATTTAACTAGAGCCCAATAGAAACAGCTTATCTGCATAAATTTAACTAGAGCCCAACAGAAAAGAGATTTTCAGAACAAATTTAATAAGAGACTTTAAGAAAGAGATTTTCTGTATATTTAACTACAGTCCTTCAGAAAGAGCTTGTATATGAACAAATTTGACTAGAGTCCACCAGACAAGAGCTTTTCTTAACAAATTAAACTAGAGCCCTTAAGAGAGAGGGCTTCTCTGTAAAAAAAATCACTAGAGTCCTTTAGAAAGAGCTTCTCTGTAAAAACATAAAAAAGAGTTTTTTAGAAAGAGCTTCTCTGTAAAAACATAAAAAAGAGTTCTTTAGAAAGAGATTCTCTGTAAAAAAATAACTAGTCATTTAGAAAGAGCTTGTCTGTATAAATTTAAATAGAGTCCTTTAGAAAGAGCTTGTCTGTTTAAATTTAACTAGAGTCCTTTAGAAAGAGCTTGTCTAAAATTCATATAGTTCTTCACAGAGTTTGTCTGTAAATGTATGAATTAACGTGATTTCAATATTGTTTTCATCAACTCTTCTAATTTCTTTTGACAGAATTCATTTAAATATCTTGAGTCCTCTTGAAAGAGTCTATTGGAGAGAATTTATTTTGATAATACCATCTGTTTTGCTTCAATTTATTTTATGAAATTTATATCATTAAGAGTCCTTCAGATGTAATAGATTCAATGCATTTATCTAGCCTCCTTCAACAGACATTTGTTTACATCAATTTATCTAGTGAAGTGGAATTTGTTTGTGTGGAGAGGAATGGAATTTGCAGGGGCCCAGTAGCCTATGGCCCCTAAAATTTTTTCCACATTTTTGCTTAATCATGCAACACTGGACCACCAAACATATTAGCTGGACTACCTATTAAAAATCATTTTTTCCATCCCTGATGAAGTTTTCTAATGTTATGGGTATTATTGATTGAATTTCTCAAAATTGTTTGCATGGATTTATCTAATGTTGTGGAAATTGTTTGCATGGATTTTTCTAATGTGGAAGTCGTTTGCATGGATTTATCTTTTGTGGAAATTGTTTGCATGGATTGATCTTTTGTGGAAATTTAAGGAGTATTTTACAGAATATTTTTTACATTAATTGATCTACTGTCTTTAGATTGAATTATTTTGATAAACTGTCAACTATAATGTTTGTCAAGCGTAAAAGGCAACGCCATGATTATTTCAAACATTCACTGAAACCTAGTCAGATGTAAAGGATAGCCCAGGAATGAAAGTAATTATCTGTTACACCACCAGAGCTCCAGATAAGAATTCACAAATTGGGGTTTTTACCCACCATTTTTTTATGTAATTGGGTGATAAAGTTTTTTAATTGCATTATCAATTCCAATTCACCCCTCAAGCAAATATCAAATTGGGTTTTTCACCACCAAGCTCCTTAATGTATTGGGTTTTTTCATCAACACAATATTGAATATTTAGGCATGTTATAATCACATTATATCAACCCCAGATGTGTTTCCATCTTAAATGTGCTTCTTTCTGCGTAGAATATGTGCTAGCTGTTTTATTCACTGACGAGCAATTGTACATTTAATTTGTGTCCCGTTTTAAACGTTCTGTCAGTTTTGTATTTTCTCAAAACTTATGTAAACTGCAGCTGGTGTCACTAGTTGGACAGGAACTAATTGCCTTTCTAGATCCCATATGATCACCCTACAGTTTAATTATAGTTGGGGTTGGTGTGGCTAAGTGTTAGATTTTTGTGTAATATATGTGAAATTTAGGTGCTGTAAGAAAGTTTTGCCAGTCCTTTCACCTATTTGCCAGATCTACTTTTTAATAAAAATAAAAAGTAGTTTCCAGATTTAAGATATACCCCAAAACCTTGAGGTTTATAGGGTGGTTTATAATGACGGAGACCACATTCAACTTAAATTTACAAATAATTCTGCAACATCAAGTAAATAAATGACAATGTTATACTGCACTTGCCAATAAGACAACTATCTTAAGTATCTAGAACAAAACAAAGAAAGTGTCAAGCTGCATTGACGTAAAAAACGGATATATGTTTATTCACTCATCAACTAAAATGAAAAAAATAATATATAAACTGTTTTCGTTTAATTCAATTTACATAAATCTGGGTTAAGTTGTCCCTTATCAGAACTTTTGGTTTCCGATGCTTTCAACTACATATCATGTCATAATTGATTTGGCCTTTCACTTTTTCCAACTGATTTCGTTTTTGACGGAACCCCGTGTTTATCGCTCTAGCAATGTTCTCGTTATAGTACGCAAACACGCCCGTGCGTTCAATGGCCGCTTCCTAAAATCACTAGCTGAGTCTTGTTATCATCATAACTTTCCCTCAGCTATCAAAAAGAAGCCGAAAACATGCTTCTATTCAATATTTTTACCGGACATTTACTTTCGTTTTAATTCATTGTGTTATGATAAGTCCCGAGCAATTCGAAAAAATATGACAGCATGTCACACGCTAATTGGATAAACGCCGAGAAGATCGAAATGTTTTGATAAACACGTGTACCTTTTGAGCAACGGAAAATTCCAACAGGGACCCATTGCAGCTACTTGATGCAGGGCTCTATTTTTAGAACGAAAGGACATTTCCAATTATAAATATTATAAAAATAGATTTACGCGACGACTGTAATCAAGTAAAGGTAAATAACGCAAACGATAGCGAATAAAAGCGTTAAGAACCCATGTTTTTGGTATATAATTGGGTTTTCCTTTGAATTAATTGGGTTATTGAACCCTGCAATGGGCAATTGCATTGGGTTTTTAATTATTTTTATTGCGTGATCACGCAAATACGCAGCTTATCTGGAGCTCTGACCACAATGATCCAGTTAGGTATTTCCTGTTAGATACACGCTAGAATCATGCGACTACATCTACTGACCGATCACATCATACAGCCATACATACCAATGATAAACTGATTATTCTGTTAAAAATACCACAAAGTCACATACTAAAACCAATTGAATATATTCCAATAATAAAATAACAAAATGTATATGCTTCAACTAGCTTGATTTTCTGTGTTTATAATTTTCTGTTTTCATATGCAAGTATTCTATATTTTCTGTATCAGTAAAAGTGATTACAATATAATTGATTAGTTTTAAATACTTATAATTTGCTACTTAGCTACCGGTTCTGTGTATTAAACTAGGATTATTGCAGGTTCAAAGAGCTATCTATTTATATTATTCTACAACTTGGGTCAAAAATTAATTGACAGATTCTAATGAAAAATATGTGAAGAAAAACTAAACTAAAAGCAAATTTTTTATTAGGCAAAACTTCCAAACTAAACGTGAAAAATAGCAGACCTACAACACCCAGTGAATTATAAGCAGAGAAGTGTGAAGCAGACGTCTGTTACCTTGGAGACAGCTGAAGAGTAGTGTTTTCCATACCACCACCTGATCTAGAATGACCAACTGTGAGAAAAGACCAAAAATCAGTGATTTCTAAAGTGCTTTAATCATGCAAATGTCAAACAGCAATCACATCTTGGAAAGCTAAATATACCAAATTAATTCCCCTTTTCTGAGTAAAATACTAGTCTATTTAAGGGCTGTTCTAAATAATCATACATGGGACTTAGAGAAATCTTTAAAATCTCCACAAGGGTTGGTGTCAAGAACAGTGAAAATGAAAAAGAAATTCTTAATTTGATAGGTGTTTACTCATTTTGAATTTCAAACTATCAGTATAACCAATGTTTTTAACTTTTAAATAATGAAACGGTGTAAAACTTTCGTGTGTAATCTACTGATATGATAATTCATCAGGATTGTGTTGCTATTTGACAGATCATGCTTTTGTTGTAAAGAAACTTAATGCAAAAGAATGGAATCAAAATAAACTGCTCAAAATATTCAATAATGCTTTAAGAAAATAAGTGTCTGCAATATTTGTAATGATACACTGACACAAACGAAAATCAAAATATACATATACCTGGATTTAAAACAAATACTGAAATCTATTTGAAGAATGTAGAAGGTTGAAAAAAAAATTCAAAAATTCTGAAGATTTACTGTTTCATGTATTATATGTGTCCTGAGAAAAATGAATCAACTAAAAAAAATACCTTCTTCTAAGGATTACATACAAATCTGATTAGTTTTGGATTTTAAGATTCATTAAATGTATAGAATTGGAACCTATTATATATTATGTGCACACCTAGGTAAATTAAACAAACAATATGACAGTGGTTGTCATTGGTTCATGTCTGTCATATAGGTTTTTCATAGATATAATTGTTATTAATAAGGCTGTTAGTTTTGTCATTTAAATCGTTTCACATTTTTCAAGTCCGAGCCTTTTATAGCTGACTATACGGTACAAGTTTTCCTCAAGTCCGAGCCTTTTATAGCTGACTATACGGTACAAGTTTTCCTCAAGTCCGAGCCTTTTATAGCTGACTATACGGTAAAAGTTTTCCTCAAGTCCGAGCCTTTTATAGCTGACTATACGGTACAAGTTTTCCTCAAGTCCGAGCCTTTTATAGCTGACTATACGGTACAAGTTTTCCTCAATGTTGATTGCTGTACGGTGGTCTATAATTGCTACAGTACATACAAGTTATTTGAACTTTGGTGGATAGTTGTCTTATTGGAAATCATACCACATCTCCTTATTTTTATATATAAATACAAATAGTTCACAGCCACCCCCTTTTTTAGAAGCTATTTCAGTATAGGCAAATCATGTGTAATTGCATAAATCTTATTTCTAAAAACAAATAATACTTTTTTCAAATATATTAGTTGTATATCATATCATTTGGTATATAAATCAGGCCATTAGTTTTCTCGTTTGAATTGTTTTATATTTGCCATTCTGGGGTCTTGTATAGCTGACTATGCTGTATGGGTTTTTCTCATTGTTGAAGGCCGTAGGGTGACCTATAGTTGTTAACTTTTATGTCATTTGGTCTATGGTGGAAATCGCATCTTATTTTTATAGCCACACTTCAATATAATTTCTCGTCATCCTGATGTTTTATGTTTTTATTGTATATTTATGTTTTTAAATTTTATGTGGTTTCTGCTGTTGGAGAGATGAACATAACATTATTTGTTCAACTCAATACAGTGTTACATAAATATTGCTGAAATCCAAATCAATAAACAAAGCACTCTTTCTACTTTCTACATCACTAATCTGAACATTCCAAAATAAAATAAAACCCATTCACCAGCAATCACTCCATAATACAACATAATATTCATTTCTACAGTATTCAACATAACATAAATTCTTATAAAACCAAACAAACTGTGATAACTATTCCCCCCACTTAATCCAACTTCAAATTGGTGCCAAGTATCATAGGATAACTTTTGACTTAGGAGCAAGGGTTTAATTATTATTAATGAAAACCTTAGGACCAGGGGTATAATTATTAACAATGAAAACTTTAGGACCGGGGGTATAATTATTAACAATGAAAACTTTAGGACCAGGGGTATAATTATTAACAATGAAAACTTTAGGACCAGGGGTATAATTATTAACAATGAAAATCTTAGGACCGGGGGTATAATCATTAACAATGAAAACCTTAGGAGCAAGGGTATAATTATTAACAATGAAAACCTTAGGAGCAGGGGTATAATTATTAACAATGAAAACCTTAGGAGCAAGGGTTTAATTATTTACAGAGTAGGACTATTCTGCAATAGCAATATTATTAACTGGACTGTTCCTACAGAAACAAGTCAAAACAGATTCTCAAATTAAAAATTCGTAAGGGTTCCGCGGAACCCAGTGTCTCGCCGTCTTTTGCTGTTAATCACAGGCTCAACAAAAATGAGGAAAAAAATTAATAAAAATATTCCTCTCTATTGTAAGTCGCTTCTGTCCAAGGATAGTTTATGAATCTAATAAATGTTTTAAAAATTTAAACTGCAGACTGTATGTAATGTTAACTGGAAGTAAAACTAAGTCCATTTATAAATAAAATACGGAAAAAATTGAACAAAATTTTTTTAAAATTTCCTTCTAGATACTAGCTTTTTATCATAAACAAGCTTCTGTCCAAGTTTGGTACAAATCCAGGATAGTTTAAGAAAGTTATTAAAATTTGAAAAACTTTAACCACAGAGTGAATGTAATGTTAACTGGCAGAAAAACTAAGTCCATTTATAAGTAAAATACGGAAAAAATGGAATTTTTTTTTTACAAAACTTACTTTTGAATATTATCTTATGATCATAAACAAGCTTCTGTCCAAGTTTGGTAGAAATCCAGGATAGTTTAAGAAAGTTATTAAAATTTCAAAAACTTTAACCACAGAGTGAATATTTGTGGACGCCGACGCCGACGACAACGGAATGTAGGATCGCTATGTCTCGCTTTTTCGACAAAAGTCGAAGGCTCGACAAATAAATGAAAAGAAAACAAATGTTTTAAAGTGGTTACTTTGGTATTCTTTTCTCTACTTTAAAAAAAAAATTAAAAGATTTCATTCTTTAAAGGACCTTATTCTTTGAATTGAAATGGTGTGTTTTAAGTGGTGTAACCTTTAAGAAATCATTAACTTTGCATTTTTGTAAATATGTAGATAACTCCTGACTCGATTCACTCTTACACTTAACCCTGACATGAATTTTTTTATTATTTAAGGAATGACTGTAATATTTTTTCTGTCTATGAAGAAATAACATCAAAAATGTGGTGCACACTGAATAACCCGCGTAGCGGGTTATTTGAAAGTGTGCACCACATTTTATATGTTATTTCGAATAGACAGAAAAAATATTACAGTCATTTCTTATAATTTAATTCTTAATTCCATTTTAAACCGGAGTAAATCATGAAAAAACGTTGATGACGTCAAGGTCGCATGACAAAATTATGTCTATGTGCTGATAAACAAAACAACGTCAGCCAATCGGAAGACGCGTTACATCCAAAATTAAATTATTAGTTATTAAATCAAATAAAAAAAAAAAATAATGTCATGAAATATATTTGTTGCAGATTTCTTTTATTTTTTCAAGGGGCATAATTCCTTCGATTCATTACAGCAAATATGACAGTATAAAGAAAATGTGACCATTAGTTATCATTTCAATGCCATTTAGTGACAAAACAAAGTCTATACATACTTCCTCTAACATTTCTCAGAGCATAAAATATTTAAATTGTGATTAATAAATAATATTGCATGTTGAAAAACAAACATTTCAATTTTAAATCCTTTTTTACTTCTTCTTTAGTATTCTTAGAATTATCTTAATTCTAGCTTATACAATATTCCTTGTACCCAGTTAGATCAATAAAAACTGCGTTAAATCACAATTACTTGCCTCTAGCTATCCCTAATATGACTACAATATGTAGGACACAATGTTTACAGAATCATTGAAAAGTATTTTACAGTTGGAAATTCCTAGACCCCCAAATTTGCAAGAGCTCTGAATGATCAAGGTTAAGGATGTTTAATGTAAAAATCAAAGTGTTTTTTATCCTCACTTTGTCTAGTCACTCCAGTCAATTATTAGGTTGAAACTATAACTCCAAGTGTAAACATGGTAAAATTTGGTAGGTTGGGGAAACAATCTGTCTTCAGTTTGTAAATAAGTAGGGGAAATAACTCCCAGATTTAATTGATAAAAAGACATAAGAGTGGTCTAGTGTCCAAGTGGTCCGGTACTTCCAAAGATTACTTCGTTTTATCACAACATGAGTATCATACAGACTAAATTCATAAATACCAAAATTGAGCACTAAATCCTTATAGGTTGTTATAGTAACAAAGGTTATTGGTTAAAGTCCAAGCTGTAGAGTATTAAAAAGATACATTTGTTGCAATTATTACATTTCCTTACTGGAGAAACAAAACATTTTCATATTCTATCACTGTGCTCTCGTTCAATTCTGGAATATTTGGGAAATTAGTTTATGGTGCACTTTCCTATTAATTACAATGTGAAAACATTCTATCTACTTGTTTGTATAGGTTTATTGACAGGCACAAGTTGTAACCACAGAGGATTTCAATAGTGACCAAGACAAAAAGGATGTGGTATCTACTGGGGTACACAAAATACATACAATTGAGGAAATTTTACTGTAAGATATAATCGGATATTAAATAACGAATCCACTTTTTTATTTTACTGAAATAAACATTCTACCTTGTATCCTGATAAAAGAAAGCTTTCATTGTTTCATCTTGAATTTTATTTTAAGATTATTTTGGGCATCTTCAAATGACAAGTGAACAGAATTTTTCAAATTTTGTGGCTAAAATTTTAAAAATGAAAAAATAGAATATCAATTATTTATGTTTAGCTTTGATATACATTTATGTAGGCCATGTATTACCTGGTCCTGCCTCGTCTGACGAGGGAGACTGGTTAATTTTCCGTAATGATTTACGACGTCTACGTTTATTTCTAGCCCTTTCAGCATCACTATCACTAGCCTGTTTGCTCTGACCTTTTCCAGCACTGTTTGCTTTTGGACTTGCCGATACATTCTTTCTTCTCATGTACATATATCTTTTTCTTCTTTTTGATGAATCACTGGGGGAAAAAAATGACTTCCATTTATGGGTCAAGTTAACACATAAGGGAGATACAAATATTCAACAACATTTTATCAGTAACAACTAGTTATTGCATGGAGAAATCAAGACATTTCAATAAAACAGAACACAATGTTGTAAGCAGAAAATATATATCTAATTTTTAAGAGAACTTGTAGCTCAATTAGAAAAAAACATATAATTTTTGTCTTTCAAATGAGGAATAATTTCTCAGAAATGAATCAAGGAAAATTTAACACTGACACTCTGCTATCATTGCAACTATTGGGCTACACAAAAAAAAAACAATTTCAACAATGATGTATGACATAGTATCAGGGTTAGATTTATGTCATTCACTAAACTTATTTCAATTTTGGCATTACCAAAATATAACAGAACAGACTCTCATGCACATTTTCTTGTGGTGGTATAGGACCTGTGTATTGTGGAACTCCATCAGAGATACAGTTACTTTACAAGTTGTCTCTTGGACTGTTACCACACATGTATTCAGATGATGGTATAGTAGGACCTGTGTATTGTGGACCTTTTACCTGCGGTATGTTACTTTACCTGTTGTCTCCTGGACCACTACCATACATGTATTCGGATGGTGGTATAGGACCTGTGTATTGTGGAACTTCCCCAGGGAATTTGGGTGATGTGATATCGGCTGTAAGAACTTCTGCGCTGGCTTTCCTGACTGGGTATTGTTGTACAACATGTTTAGATTGAGTGACTCGTGATCCTCCATTCCTTGAATTTGTAGAATTTTCCTCCTTAGAAGATGCTGTCAATTGAACAAACTGACGACCTGTAGGGAGAGGAATCCTAGTAGGTGGACCAGACTTCTTATTGGCAATGGCAAGCTGGAATAACAACAGAGAAATAAAAAACATGGTTGGCATATAGTATAAATCTAGTATCATGACTTGGCTTCTTATTGGCAATGGCAAGCTGGAATAACAACAGAGAAATAAAAAAGATAGTTGGCATATAGTATAAATCTAGTATCATGACTTGGCTTCTTATTGGCAATGGCAAGCTGGAATAACAACAGAGAAATAAAAAACATGGTTGGCATATAGTATAAATCTAGTATCATGACTTGGCTTCTTATTGGCAATGGCAAGCTGGAATAACAACAGAGAAATAAAAAAGATAGTTGGCATATAGTATAAATCTAGTATCATGACTTGGCTTCTTATTGGCAATGGCAAGCTGGAATAACAACAGAGAAATAAAAAAGATAGTTGGCATATAGTATAAATCTAGTATCATGACTTGGCTTCTTATTGGCAATGGCAAGCTGGAATAACAACAGAGAAATAAAAAACATGGTTGGCATATAGTATAAATCTAGTATCATGACTTGGCTTCTAATTGGCAATGGCAAGCTGGAATAACAACAGAGAAATAAAAAAGATAGTTGGCATATAGTATAAATCTAGTATCATGACTTGGCTTCTTATTGGCAATGGCAAGCTGGAATAACAACAGAGAAATAAAAAAGATAGTTGGCATATAGTATAAATCTAGTATCATGACTTGGCTTCTTATTGGCAATGGCAAGCTGGAATAACAACAGAGAAATAAAAAACATGGTTCGCATATAGTATAAATCTAGTATCATGACTTGGCTTCTTATCAGGGAAAGCCAGAACCAAGAAAAAAATACACAAGTGTATACAAGTTCATGACATATTTATACTGTTTACAACAAGTTACAGAAAAGCACTTTTCCTTCCTTGCAATCTTCAAATAGAAGCAAATAAGATTAATATAATTATAAATTGGAACATATAGAATAATTTTATCCATTTATGAACTAAAATTGTATCCAATCCCTTTACAAATTGCAATACATTTTGTGCCCAATGTTAACCAGCATACTTTAAATTCTCACAATCTTCAGTGGCTAGATGTCTTACTGACGATTGTACAGCTCCTTCATGGTAAGTATTGGAAAATTTTGATTTAGATTTCCTAACTCATAGCAAGCTTATGTATTCAATCAAACTAAAATTTACAATTTTAGACAAGTCAAGGGGCATGACAGCAGTTGCAGTAATAAAGTTATAAAACTTGACCTTGATATCATACTTAATAAATCTGTGCTTTGTATATTTTGTCTTTTTTTAGCATTTTTTAGTGCTTGATGGTAATCTGATCAGTCATTTCCAACTGATTTTCATAGTTTCTTCTTATACGGTGCTGTTATACCTCTGTTCCAGCTAAGGGTTGAGTGTTCACAAATACTTTTAATCACACCACATTTTTTGTGTGCCTTTTTGTCTCAAGCATGTAATTGAGTGCTTGTCCTTTATTGCTGTCTGCCATAATAGTTTCAGTGATCTCCCCAGGCCGTTTTAGCGTCGCAGCACCGCAACGCTATATTTTTTTCCTGTGATGCTATAATAATTTCTGCGACGCTATAATTATTTTGAGGATACTATTTTTTCTTGTCTCTATGTCACTAAACCATGCCCTAATTTTTGAACTTTCATCTAATTACCGCTTGTGATCATAAAAATTATATCGTCTTTAATTGTAATCCCTTCAGGTCGGACATAGAGGAAATTTAGAGTGATTAAATAGGTGTTAATTGACCTTTGGGTGATAACTGTTTGAATACGAATACCCCAAGCTGACACTTATGACATGACTAAGAACACAGGGTCCAATCGCAAATTTTGACATCGAGAAAATGTAATCAGAAAATCATAGACAATTCGAAATCTACATTGCATCATGGAAATTCAAAGCTATAAACGATTTATCTCCATAGAAAAGACGTTTGGGCGTATGTTATTATAACTTTTAAAGAATTATTTTCTTTCCCTTCCTGTACTTGTTACTCGAGAGCGTATATTAAACATTTTGATTTTCAGCAAAATAAGTTTGATACTTCATTAGAAAGTGATCATAATTGCCTTAAGTTAATGTTTCATCCATTTAATGCATTAAAAGCGTCATATTAATTCCTTATCACTTGTCAAACATTGTTTATTTTCGTTAATTCTTCTTTGACCGCCATTGGGGGATTCATCGGAAGCGGACCAGCTATGACCAAAATCCGCATTTTTACAATAATAACTACAGACACACAAATGGCACAGTAGACAGAATAATAATAACCCCAAAATAGAAAACTATGCATTCCACACGCATTAACAGACTATTTGTTATATCTCATTGTTTCAATATACTGATTAAAGAAACAACTAGGACTACTACATTGAGTCCCATGAAACATTGAATTTCATAGACATGATAAAAAGAATAGTTTTTTAATTGAAATTTTATTGCTGTATGATACTTTCTCTTCCTTTTAAAACCAGTTCTTTTTTGTACTAGATATTTATTTGGTAGTTTCTGACAAGAGGAAAACAATAATTCTGTAACTATAAATGAATATAGATGACATACACTGAAACAACTGTTGTACTTTAATTGTATTCTCAGTTATGAATTGTACAATATATACATAACTTAAAGGAAATAGAGCATCGCTGCGACGCGACAATTGACTTTGAAAAAAATAGTTTATTTTTTACGCCAAATGTGATGCTATCCAAAATTTCTGGGGAGAACACTGAGTTTTAGCATAAATCAGGCTATTGGTTTTTGGTTTGAATTGTTTCACATTATGTCATGCCAGGGCCTTTTATAGCAGACTATGTTTAATGAGTTTTGCTCAATGTTGAAGTGACCTCCTCATCCTTTGGTTTTGATAAACAGTTGTCTCGTTGACAATCATACCACATCTCCTTATTGCCATATTAAAATATTTAAGAAAGACTAACAGACAAGTCTGCAACTATATGCTCCCCTACATAAGTCTGAAAAAATTTATTCCCATACCAAATTGACATTCTTTAACTCTGATAATTCCTCCTTATTTTTACCATCTGTTGATCGTGGAGTTTTATAATCAGAAGTCATCATTGTAAACGGGACCGGTCCACTTTGTATTCCAGAGCTAGTGGAACCATTGTGGTGAGACCTTGATGATACTGGTATAGGTCCACCTTGAAGGCCGGAGCTTGAGGAACCATTATGGTGAGACCTTGATGATATTGGTGTATAATTGCTCGGTGCACTTTGAATCCCTGAGCTTCCAGATCCATTGTGTTGTGATCGTGACGAGACAGGTGTGTTGATGTTAGGAGGTGCTGGTCTCTTTCTTTGTTGTGATCTTAATGCAGCTGAATTTATAAAATATACATGATGAACAAGTTTCTTGATGACATTGGATTAACTTAAAAAAGCTTCAATAATTAAGTGTAAAACTGAATAAAATGCTTCGCTGGGCGCAGCTTGATACGACCGCAGAGGTCGTACCCTGAACAGTTGGGGCAAGTATGGACACAACATTCAAGCTTGATACAGCTCTGAATTTGGATTGTGATTAAATATTTGACACAGCATAGGTTTCTGACACAGAAAGAATGTGGTCTAAGAACTTCAATTTTTTTAATTTACCTATTATGGTCCAATGTCCAAAATCAAAATACATGGTTAGATTCAGCATATCAAAGAACCCCATATATTCAATTTTTGTTGAAATCAAACAAAGTTTAATTTTGGACCCCAACTTGAACCAACTTGAAAACTGGTCCCATAATCAAAAATCTAAACACATGTTTAGATTCAGCATATCAAAGTACCCCAAGAATTCAATTTTTGTTAAAATCAAACTAAGTTTAATTTTGGACCCTTTGGACCTTAATGTAGACCAATTCAAAAAAACGGGACCCAAAATTAAAAATCTAAAAACACGGTTAGATTTGGCATATCAAAGAACCCCTATAATTCAATTTTTGATGAAATCAAACAAAGTTTAATTTTGGACCCTTTTGACCTCAATATGAACCAATTTGATAGCGGGCCCACAAAATAAAAAATCTAAATACATGGTAAGATTCAGCATATCAAAGAACCCCATATATTCAATTTTTGTTGAAATCAAACAAAGTTTAATTTTGGACCCCAATTTGGACCAACTTGAAAACTGGGCCAAAAATCTAAAATCTAAATACATGTTTGGATTCAGCATATCAAAGAACCCCATATATTCAATTTTTGTTGAAATCAAACAAAGTTTAATTTTGGACCCCAACTTAGACCAACTTGAAAACTGGGCCCATAATCAAAAATCTAAACACATGTTTAGATTCAGCATATCAAAGAACCCCAAAAATTCAATTTTTGTTAAAATCAAACTAAGTTTAATTTTGGACCCTTTGGACCTTAATGTAGACCAATTCAAAAAAACGGGACCCAAAATTAGATTTGGCATATCAAAGAACCCCTATAATTCAATTTTTGATGAAATCAAACAAAGTTTAATTTTGGACCCTTTTGACCTCAATATGAACCAATTTGATAGCGGGTTCACAAATAAAAAATCTAAATACATGGTTAGATTCAGCATATCAAAGAACCCCAAGAATTCAATTTTTGATGAAATCAAACAAAGTTTAATTTTGGACCCTTTTGACCTCAATGTGGACAAAGTTGATAACTGGGCCCAAAAATCAAAAATCTAAATACATGGTTAGATTCAGCATATCAAAGAACCCCATATATTCAATTTTTGTTGAAATCAAACAAAGTTTTATTTTGGACCCCGATTTGGACCAACTTGAAAACTGGGCCCATAATCAAAAATCTAAATACATGTTTAGATTCAGCATATCAAAGTACCCTAAAAATTCAATTTTTGTTAAAATCAAACTAAGTTTAATTTTGGACCCTTTTGACCTTAATGTAGACCAATTTGAAAATGGAACCAAAAATTAAGAATCTAAATACACGGTTAGATTCGGCATATCAAAGAACCCCAATAATTCAATTTTTGATGAAATCAAACAAAGTTAAATTTTGGACCCTTTGGACCTCAATGTGGACCAATTTAAAAACGGGGCCAAAAATCCAAAAACTTAATACACGGTTAGATTCAGCATATTAAAGAACCCCAAGAATTCAAGAAGAAAACCCCATTGAAATTGATCAAGAAATAAGCAATTTATACGAAGTATCTTCTTTTGCACAATACTGTGCAATTGAATATTTCTTGCTATTGTGCAATACTGTACAATTGACAATTTCTTGCTATTGCGCAATATTGTGCTATTGGATATTTCTTGCTATTGCGCAATACTGTGCAATTGAAGATTTCTTGCTATTGCGCAATACTGTGCAATTGAAGATTTCTTGCAATTGTGCAATTGAAAATTTCTTGCTATTGCACAATACTTATTATATAATAATTTACACATCCTGTTTGGTGTGTATCTCCTACCATATCATTATTATTTGCTTTTAAATATTAATCAGAAATAACCAACTTAAAATGGAAAATTTTAAAAGAAAAAAAAAAGGAAAAAAGAAAAAAAAAGAAAAAAAAAAAATCCCCCCCAAATTTTTTGAATCCCCTTATGATTCATCACCCCCCAAACTCAATCCCAGCCTTCCCTTTGTGGTATGGTACCTTGTAGTACAATTTCAGAGAACTCCATACACTTGAACACAAGTTATTGTCTGGAAACTAGAAAAATGCTTATTTTTGGCCCCTTTTTGGCCCCCAATTCCTAAACGTTTCGGGAAATTACCCACAAACTCAATTCCAGCTTTCCCTTTGTGATATGGAACCTTGTAGTACAATTTCAGAAATATCCAAACACTTACACACAAGTTATTGTCATGAAACTAGAAAAATGCTTGTTTTTTGCCCCTTTTTTGGCCCCTAATTCCTAAAATTTTGAGGCAATTATCCCCAAAATCAATTACAGCCTTCCCTTTGTGATATGGAACCTTGTAGTACAATGTCAGAGAGATCCATACACTTACACACAAGTTATTGTCTGGAAGTTACAAAAATGCTTATTTTTGGCCCCTTTTTGGCCCCTAATTCCTTAACTGTTGGTACCATAACCCCCAAAATCAATCCCCACCTTCCTTTCGTGGTATTGAACCTTATGGTAAAATTTCATGGAGATCCATTCACTTAAACTAAAGTTAGAGTGCGAAAACCAATGTGTCTTCGGACGACGCCGGACGACGCCAGACGACGACGACGACGCCAACGTCATACCAATATACGACCAAAAAATTTTCAATTTTTGCGGTCGTATAAAAATGAATGATAACAATACAGACTGGATCAGAATGAAATCATTTGTAGCAATAACAGAAATTTCAGGGTTTTTTTCTCTCATCTTTTTTTGCAAATAATATTTTAATCATCTTTTTCTCATATATTTTCCGCCATTGCGAATAAGCATTTTATAAAGGTTTCTCCATTCAATCATAACAACAACCCATGGAAGGCAATATTTTTTGCAAAGTATGGTAATATTTTTTAAGGCTGCTGTTTTGTACACCTATAATTCACATATCCTTTTATTTAAACAAAAATGAGAATTTTAGTGATCATATGAATTATGATACCACTGAATACCAATTTTAGTACATTGCTTGTGAGAGAGCTGTCTACATATTCCATTATACATGTTATATTAATGGTCTCTAGTGGAGAGTTGTCTCATTGGCAATCATACTACATCTTCTTATTTTTATATTGTGTATATATAGGATTTGATGTACCGGTAGTAAAGAAATTTGTGAATAAAAAATGACCGGCAACAATTAGAAAATATCAAAGAACAGGTAAAAATGACTGTCATTTCCTGTCTTGGCAAAGGCATAATCACCACAAAAAAAATAAAAAAATAATAGACTGAACCCAGTATTATGGCTCACAAAACCTTTGAATTGTATGACAGTTATTCCTATTTGAGCTTAATGTATGCAGCTTAAAATTTAACTTTTAATATTATTCATCAATATAATGGTCAGTGAGTAGGAGCTAGTACTTCTGAAATATTTACCTTCTCTGACCGGACCAAGTTCCCTTCTCTGATTGGGTAAGGAATCTTTACGTTGATACTTTGGTGGAGCACTACTACTACTTTCATTCCCAGAGAATCGTGAAAATCGACTGTTTTGATTAGAATCAGTACTGTTTTGTCTGCTTACTCTACTGTTAGTCTGGCTTGTTGAACTTGTATTACTGTAAATTCACAGAACACAATATTATTAATATGTACATAATAAAATTACTTTCTTACTGGAGGATACGAACAGAATATTTCCTGAATTCATTCATTCACATGTGTTTGGTGATATCTACATCATGTACATGTCTATTTTATGTAAATTTGTGTTGGTAGGTTTCAGACCAACATAGCTTGATTTCCTTTTATGATGGATATGACTACAGAAATGCCTCAGCAATTGTTACCAGCTTTCATCTCATTTTGTTTTGATTTGATTTGATTTTCTCATTATCTTTTATTTATAGGTCTACATTCCATTTTTCCAGAGTGAAAAGCTTCTTTTTTTTTTAATTTCTTGTTAAGTAACATCTTTATGAATAAATATTTCCACTTAAAAGCCACATTTTATACCATGGTGAAAAACATGCAAATAACTAATGATAAAAGCATGGTAATGGGGTGTATATTGAAATAAAGTGTGTATTACACCAACAGGAAAAATAACTAATGATAAAAGCATGGTAATGGGGTGTTTATTGAAATAAAGTATGTATTACAACAACAGGGGCAAGAAAATCACCTTATATCATAAGTAAATAGCTACTCTCTTTTCACAATAAATTCAAGTATTATTAAAGAAAGCAAATGATACAACATATTTTGAGTATTTTTTATACATAAAGTAAAATTACTTGTTTCTTATAAATGATCTCTGGGGATTCCTTGGTATCCGAGGTCCACCTCTCATGCTACGTAAATATCTTTTAACGCTATCTCTTACTCCTGATAAACTGTTGTGTTCTGATTGGCTAATTCTAGACCAAGGATTATGGTCAACATAATCTATGGCTGCTATAGCTAAGGCTTTTCCTACCTGAAATATTTTTAAATATCTAATTATTACCAATTTTTCATAGTAGTAACAACTTTTCTCAAATTTTTTTCTCTAGTAGTTGCATCATGAATTTGTAAATCTGAATAATGCATGTATATGAATGGGTTCATATAAAATTACATATATATGTCATCAAATTTCAATTCAATTTTGGAAAACTATGAATTTTTTCATCATAGATACCAGGCTTAAAATTTTGTAAAAGTGCTGGAATCAAAAAAGTTGAAAAGGCCAAATAAAGTATGAAGTTGAAGAGCATTGAGGACCCAAAATTCAGACAAGTTTTTCCCAATTAGGTAATCTACTCCTGAGGTAAAAAATTCCATAGTATTTTTAAAAGAAGTTGTCTGACTTAATAAATTGCCAAAAAATCATAAATGAGCATGTGTATATTTGGATGTAAATCCTGCCCTGGAGGGACATGGCTATTCCCTATTCACTATGAATAGTAATACTAGATTCACTACAAGTCAAATATCTCCCTACAATGAGCAGGTGTATATCTGGATGTAAACCCTGCCCTGGGAGGGGGTTATACCTGGAAATCCTGCCCTGGAACGGTTTGTGGCTCTTACCTTGCCACAATGAGCTGGCAGTACTGGATGATTTGAGTAAACCTACCTCTTCAAAATGAGCTTGTGTATATTTGGGTGGGAATCCTGCCATGGGAGGGGGTGTGGCTCTCCCCTCATCACCATGAGCTGGTGGTACTGGATTCACCATTCTACCGGTGTTGTAGTTACACTCCAGAGTATAACTGAAAGGTAAATAATTCTCTTTAATGTGAAGTAAGAAAGTTCTGAGTATGAAAACCAATTAGATTTGTCAATGCAATCATACATCAATAGCTAAATGTATATTGCCACATGACACTGCCCTTTGTATAATATCAATAGATTTATTTATCATATACTTATATAAAATAATGGTATAATTGTACCCCTTGATAAAACTGTAAATTATCATAAAATCTGAAGAATTGTCTTAGCCGTGTGATATGACTTTCATTATCAACTGCTTCCAGTTTATATCAACTGTTTCCAGTTTATACCACACGCTCAATCCGTATTCGCCTTATCAGTCATTTCTGTAATCGATTGGCTACTTACATTACATAAACAAAAAACATGGCAGACGACAGCGGGGACAAAACCACTGATTACATAAATTCCATAAAAAATGTCAATACAAATAGAAAAACACTCAGTGATATTAATATTTCAACCAAATGGATGAGGGATAATGATGATATAAGAAGTTTTGAGGATATTTCTGTTATGGAATTGGACAAAATTATAGCAAGGTTTTTTTTCTTCTGAAAATCACGAAAGATGACAGCAGTCCTTACGAGCCCAGTACAATCAAATTTGTTGTTATAAATTTGTTTCATGTTAAACTTGTTTAAAATAAATTTTTAACCATGACTATCCATATATTGACCCAATGACATAAAAGTCCTTTTTTATATCAGACACATTAACAGAATTTTAACTGGGACATTCAAAACAACAATAATTAAGTATATGATAAAAAGATAATAACATGTCGTTTTTCATATCAGACCCCTTAAAAGCCCATGGTTAATATCATCCCTTGAGTCTGTCGGTTCTCTGGCTAATATCATGACCTAGGGCTGATAAGGGGTCTGATATGAAAAATACCATGTTATAATCTATATATATATATTGCCACGTGATTCTTACCTGTGTATAATGCCAATAGATTTGTATATCGCCACTCTACCACTTCCTTCCTTGGACATACCATCCCTTTTATCTTTGGTATACATGTTCCTTTCAGTAAAATTACAGCCAGTAAAATCAAAATGGGCAGTGTTCATAGATATCAGTTTAGGATATAACATATTCTCTACCTGTAATAAATCAGTAATTAAAGCATAACACCATGTTCAGAGCTGCAGATAAGCTGTATATTTGTTTGATGATGCAATAAAAACAATCACGAACCCAATTCATCTATTAATTTCAGTATTCAAAAACTCAATAAATTCAAAGGAGAACCCAATTGTATGACAAAACTATGGGTTATGAACCCTTCTAGCTGTTGTCAAGTATATTATTTATCCTAATCTATAAATTGAGGCCGTTTTTTTTTATTCTAAACCATTTACCTGGTTTTAAACTTTTTTAGGTTAAAAGTTTTTTGATGGGTCAGTCTTAACCACGTGGTTATATGGTTAAAGAACATCTCAACCAGGATCGAAAGCACATTTTAGATACTTTCAAAACATTTTTCTTCAACATTTGTTTTATGTTTTCTTCCTTCGACAACTTTATTGTTTATAGCTTAAACATGTTACAGATTGTTTTCAAACATTTTCAAGTTTGAGTATAAAAAACAGGCCTTTGATGTCACATAGTTTATCTATTCTTGTAATTTTAGGAAGTGTACTTTTGTTCTAACAATAGAGTGCCCTATCAATTGATCAGTGTTCCCGTTTGAATTTCTAAATTGCTAGCCCCTTGCCCAAATTTTGTATACCTGACCACAAGAGGTAGAAAGAACAATATGCACTTGTCTTGGAAAACAAATTACCCATATACCTCAATACATATTAAGTAACAGTAATTTCTTTTCAGACAAGTGCTTGTGGAAATGAAGCACCATTATTGGCCAAGTCATGTAGCTTATTGAATTATCTGACAAAAACCTGCATTCTGAAGCACAGAGATATGTAAGACATATTATCAATTCCCTTGTAGAGTAGGCAACCACTCATTTTGTGAGTAACATCGTATATATATATAAAGCTATGGTTTATTAACTTGCTTTGACTATTAATGACAGTATTAACAATCCTTCCTTACCTGAGTATCTTCCATTTCAAAATAATTTCCATAAATAAAGCAGCCTCTTTTAGAGGCATGTCCATGTAAATCCACATAAAATGCAATTCCACTGTGATGTGGCGGAATATCCTTTAAACGTGGATCACTTAAATGTGGACAGTTATTATTTCCAAAAGAATATTCGGCTCTAAAATCGTCATCTTCTGAACCTTCATTTCCGAGGTGTTCATCGTTTCTATCCTCAATGTCAGAATCCAATAATCCAACACTCATTGACATCATGCTCATTTTCCCACGACAGTCATCAGACATGTTTAACTCAGATAATCTAAGTCTTAACTCACTATCTATTTTTCTATCCCCTTTGTTACTCATCACACTACTACAAGATGAAGATAAATGTATACTATCTGCACCATTAAAATCATTTTGAGTCAGAGTATCACCACGAGATAAAGTAGAAAAATCTAAAGGTTCCACTGGTACCTTAGATGGGATTAATCCTCCATCATGAACTTCACTGGAGGTTATCCATGAATTTTCTTTTGGTTGTAACGAGTATATATCAACATTGCCTTTTCTGGCAGGTTTTTCTGATTTAGTTATTTTATTAGCACCATATTTCAGAGTCACACCAGTGGTTTTATTATTGTTCTTGTTTATCTCTCCTCCTCCGTCATGTTGCGGCAGTGGAGGTTTAGATTTTGGGGGAGGTTCAGGACTAGAATTTAATACAAAGCCTCCTGGGAATTTAATGCTGAGACTGAGATTATCATCCTCTGGAACAACACGATTTCTGACATGATGATAAACTAAAACACTTTTTGATGCATAAATTGTGGGATGAAGACTAAAACTAGGATCAAGATAAAGACGATTTAGATTAACCCCCCTTTGATCAGTTCTGTAGTGTCCTCTCTGAACTCCATCAGGATTCAGTAGAGGAATAAGTTTGAACACATAGTCTCTCCTCAACATTTTGGCACGTGGATCATTTTCTCTTAAAATGAATTCTAAAAATCCATTGAATACAAAACTTGCTGGAGTTTCTCCAGGGTGAACTCTACTAGTTAACATGTAAACCTAAAAACAGAAATCAATAATAGACTTTCTCCAGGGTGACCTCATCTATTTGACTGGTAAACCTTAAGATGAAAATAAACAATGGAGTTTCTTCAGGATAAACTCTACTAGTTTACCTTTTAACCCATAAATAGAAATCAAGAATTAAATACCGGAATTAAAAAAAAAAAAAAATCCGAAATGACAATCAGTTGTTTAGCTCTCATGTTGCTGCTTACATTCATTTGTTATGACTGCCTTGAAGTGAATATTTCATGAAAAGAAAAAGAACAACAGAGCTGCTTTCATTGAATTTTTTCTAAAGTACAAAGATATGAAATACAAAAGCATAAATCAATATGGTAGGGGTAAATCACTTGAGTCTCTGATACAACAGACAGCATAATGTTGCAAGTATAGACAATAGTTAATGGAACTGTTACTTGTCACCTGTTTATATGATTCAGAAAATTCTATCGTTCTAAAAGTTACTTGAAAGTGTTTGATTACGTTGTTGAATACATGAGTATGAAAATACTAAATATACACAAGTTTTAAAGGTCATTTTGGAGAGGTACTTGAACACAAAATTCAAAATAGCAATCACAAACTTACCCTTTTACCTCGGAACTTTTTACATCTTTTGTTTTCCTTGTCAGGAAATAAGTTTTCATCAAACCTTGGTTCTTCTTCATCCATTATTCCCTTACATGAAGATATGGTCAATAGTTCTATGCGTAGCTTGTCCAGTGAATAACATATGACCTCTCGATGGTAGTACAAAGCGTCTGGATTGCTGCAATATTTTACAGATCTATTATCTTGTGAACTTAAATACTTTTTTTAATCAGGTAACAATTACAAAAATATGGAGATGTGGTATGATTGTCAACGAAATAACTATCCATCAGAGACCAAATGTACAGCCTTCAGCAATGAGCAATACCCATACTGCAGAGCAAGCTATAAAAGCTTCCACCTGTGTTTTTCGCAATAAGATTATGACATTGATGTGTACTACTTTTGGGACAAATCAAATTGCTATTATAGAAAAATTCATTGGCTCTAACTAAAAAGATGGACAATTTATGATAAGGGCATCTTTAATTCCATTTAACAGCTCATTTTTGACGCTTTCCAACTGGACAAAATCACTACTTTACCTTTAAATTTATGACAAACTTTTTTTAATGTAATTTCATAAAATGAAGATATAAATTGTGTATGCAAAAAATTAGCAATTAATACATTGTCCACAATGGGGACTACATTTGTAGACAACCAAAATCAAAGGGTGATACTTGTGTTCTATGGTCTTTTTGGTATTTTTTAAAAGATTAACTTCCTGTCTAACTGAAATTTTTACAGTACACTTAATTACTTACTGATACCTGGTAGAATTAACATTTTACTGGTAACTATCTCATCTGAGTGCTCCTAGACAGGAGGGAATTACGAAAGAAGAAGAAGAAGGTACCTGTCAGAATTAATATTTTACTGGTACCGGTTAGAATTAACATTTTACTGGTACCTGTTAGAGTTAATATTTTTGCAGGCAGCATATTTCCTGTCCAATTCATTTAACTTTTCACAACTTTCTGTATAAGACCATGGATAACAGAATGCAAAATAAGTAATTGCTCCTTTCACATCTGGAAACCTAAAGGTGAAGGACAGAATGAACTGTCCATCTACAGTCTGCAAAAAAATAAAAATAAATAAAAAGGTGTTGACATAATGCTTTTTTATGCCTATACAATTCAAAAAATCTGAATGTAAAGTTATGAAATGTAAATCTAATATCTCTGTAAAAAGTAAAAAATCAAATGTGGACACAGAAAAATGTGTCTTTGTTGTAAAACATTTTAGTTTACAAAATAAAATGACAGTCTGCAAAATAATAACCAATCAACAAGTGTGGACACATACACATAGCATTAGAAATACAAAATAACCTGTAAATTAATTCCTTTGAAAGACTAAAGTACATTGATCTAACAGAATATGAGATTGAACTATATATCTAGTGTTGACTGACCTCAAATGATGGTCTATCCCTGAGTCTTTCCCATCGAGGACGTCCTGGGAGGGTTTTAGTGAATGGTGTATGACCCTGGCTGTACAGTTTACCTTGTCTGTTCAGGTTCATTATATTGATTTTGATAACTCTGTTTGGACTCCATCCTCTTATTCCAAAGTAGAACCAGGATCTATAAAATATTGGATTGAAGATGATATTTAAGAAAACTGTTTTTGAATGATAAAAACTGTAAGATTATTGTGTGCCTGTATCGATCACTTAACAGTACTAGTCTTGCCATGATTTTTGAAAATCTGTTTATTGTCACGTACATGAAACCTACAGAAAACTGTCCACTGTGGCCATATATACAATAGCAATTAAGAAACAGAGTAACAACTCAGTCAGTACCTCAAAAGAAACAAACCTTCTAAGTCTTGTTTCATATATGCATCAGTTCTAAAGAAGAAAAGTCTTCTATATTTCCCGTAGGTACCAAAACAATCATCTGCTACAATTATGCTTGGTTCTCCACACATATATACCACCACAAGGAAGGTACCTCATAAGGAAATTTTCATGTTATAGTTTCAAGTGATACAGCAATTTTTTATGATGTTTTTTACCAGTGGCTATATTGTTTGGCTGATCAACAAAAAGAATTAAAATGCTTCGTCAATATGTTGACAGAAACCTATTTTTTTTTCTGTATATTTCCAATAGGTTCAAATGTAAGATGAAGTTTATATCTTGGTTTGGTTAATCAGCACTTCAAAATAAACAACACTCTGTAAGTACTTCATAAAGAAGGAGTTTCCAAGAAAAGACTGAAACCAGTCAGGCTATGAAACATCCCCAGGAGCAGTTAATTATTTTTTTTCACATTACTTACTTTTTATTTATTATAATTTTAACCCTTACAAAATTTACCTGTTTCCATTTTCAAATTCTGTACCCCCACAATCTGGTTTGGTCCAAACATTGTATTCATAGTCTGGCTTCACCTCTGGATAATAACTGGCTGTAAAAAAACAGTTTTAAAACTTATTATAACTTGACCGTTCCTATAGATATTTTATACATGGTACATAGAAAAGACAGACCCTTCCAGAATAGGGACAGGTTCTTTCAATTGGATTTTTTTATGCAAAATTAAAAAAAAAAGAGCAGCGAAAGAAGGAAATAAATCACATTAAAAAGGTAAAAAAAAACTGAAATTACGTAATTCATAAAAAATCAAGAACATATAAGATGATATATAATCCATTTCAGTGTTATATGTCATTAAAAATAAATTATTATCAAAGCATCCATTATAGATGCAGAGAGCTACACAATATAACTTGATCACAAAAAGTAGAATATCCATACATGAATTATTACTAAAAATCATTTCTTTACAAATAACTACTCCCAGCAGTTGTTTGAAGCTCACTTTTCAAGTATTAACTTGAAAACGATATATTTATGAGACTTGGTTAAAAGGACTCTTACTTTCTAGATTATATTCTAGTAAAATATTGTTTATTTGATGAAGCATAATCAATATTTATGTAAACTTGTTTTTTAAGGTCAACTGTTCATAATTTTGGAAAACTGAGGTTGTATTGTCTCTACTTATTTCTAAAAAAGTGGTAAATTAACTTTTATATCAATAAACAGCTTGTAGTGAATTTATTACTTCAACAAGAATAAGATACTGACAATTGACTATCATAATTTCTTATCAACTGTTCAACAATTTTATCTTACCTCTTTTAATACATGTACTTCAAATCATAAAGAATAATATTTGTATAAATTTTCCTTTACCCTGCAACTAAATATACCATCATCATGATCAGAGTAAAACATGACATCAATTTTGTCACTTCAACAAAACTGATAAAGATCTTGAAATCTAGGTAAGGAATAGCTTGGGAAATCGAAAACAAAATAATATAATGGTTTAGGTCATACACTTTTGTTCAATACTGTGTTTTGTTAATTTTAAACACACATTAAATATTGATTTCCTACGTGCTATATTTTGTTCAATAGCATTCTGTCCATATATTTACAAGGTTTGTAAGTAAGCTAAAAGATTTTGATTTGGTTTCAACATTGTATATTATAATCTTTAACAACTTACGTGCTTCTTCTTCTTCATCACGGGTCACTTTCTCAACTTTGGTCAAATTTCCTGAGTCGAACTTGGATGTAAAAAGGAGGTTTCCCACTCTAAATTCCATATTTCTTAACTCTCATCTCCTTAACCAAACATTCCTGATAAAAATAAAGATAGCTTGATAAAAAATGATTCATTCAAACAAGCAAGCAAGCAAAGTAGATATAAATATTGGAAGCTTAGTATTTTTTTCAACTTTTATTTAGTCATCAAAATAATCATTTAAGTGTCACTTTATGTTGCAAGCCAAGAGCTTATATTAGACCAACTTTCTAATCATGACCATTCTAGGAAAGGTCAATCTGTTCAATGAGAGCAGGTGACAGAAAAACTTTTAATTCATACTATGGCTGAATTCAAAACTGATTCTAAAAGAGTTTAGTCAGAGGAAAAGACTTACATTTTCCTTCTTAGTGCCCAACCTTCCCAAAGAAAGATTAACATAATCACTTTCAACATTTTCTAAGGACAACAAATTTCTGTTTGCAATCTTAAACAGCCAGAAGTACACCATTAACTAAAGGGACATTTAAAAATAATTTATTTGAGTTTCTATGATTTAAGAAAAAAAAAAGATGCACCCAATTCTATGTTTTTGTCTCTTTCATTATTTTAATTATAATATATATATACAAAATAAATTTTCACAAAATGATATGTTATTCACCACTGAAATATATTAAAGAGTTAATTTAATTCACTTCACATACACATGAAAGAAAATACTTCAATTTGTTTGCATCAAAAGTTGTTTCTTTGAATTATTTATTTATCAAAGAAAATTGACATTTCATCAACTTGGTTAAAATGAAAAATTGCTGGTGATGAAAGAGACTGTTGTGAACACCCGGGCAACTAGATATTGCTTTTTGGAAGTTGGGTAAAGCATAGCGAAGGATGGGAAAGCAATTTTTTCGCCCTAGTTGCAAATAATCATGAGCCCTGATACTGATTACAGAAATGAACAATGTACAGAATAAAGAAATCATAATTACAGATATATTTAATGGTAAAATAATTTCATCAGAATTTTATAGAATAAGCTTTATCTTTAAAGAAAAATGACTAAAAATATTAAACAATACAGAAAGAAAAGATCCCAATTTAGTTCTTTATACATATTCATATATATGCTAATATTCCATGGATGGATCAAGTTTCCAATATCATTGAATATAGAAATGTTAGAAGTCTGTATTTAGTTATGCACTTTGTAGTATAATTTTGATGTTCTGGTGTATAATATAGTCGTTAAATTGTATATTTTTTAGTTTTGTGGTGTATTTTTTTGGTGTTCTGTCCCATAGTTAATGTTCTATTATTTTTAATCAAATGATACCCTAAAAGCAGTTGTGATTGAAACAAAACAAGAGAAATCTGGTCTGAACATGCTAAATGAAGCCATTGGCAGCAGACAGATAGAGGAAATGAAGGGTTAAATTGAAGGTATATGGGTGTCAAGGAACTTAACACATGTAACATGCAGAAAAGTAAATGGCAAAATTCTATTAAATTATCAGGGGCAGATCCAGAAACTTTTCAGGGGGTGTGTCTGACTGTGTCACCATAATTAACTTTCAAATTTTTTCAAATTTTGTTTATTGAAAAGAACAAACAGTTACATGTGGTTAACAAAATTGTTTCAAATTAAATTTTCTTTGATATTTGCGTTATTAAACGATCACATCAAGGTCTAAGTGTAAATCATAATGCACATGCATCAGTATTCATCCATTAATCTCAATTTAGTTAGTCATTTCTGACCCATTTTCATCATTTTAGCACATAATTTTTTTTTTCAGGAATCTGTGCTTGTTTTTTGAATGTCCACTATCATGACATTTGCAGCTGGTTTCACTAATACGACAAACAATTTTAAGAATGACAAAGATGTTTGGAAAGTCAAACTTATTGCATTTCTATATGCTTTCAGTTGCAGGTAATGTTTTTTTTTGTATTTTGCCAAAAAAGACACTGTCTGTTTACTTCAGACAGTAACTCACTTGGGCTCAACAACTTGTTTGAGTTGTAATAGTAAAGAAACGTTTTTAACTTTTATGTTTCAATTATAACATGTGCGTCTGCAGCTGGCTTCTGGGTATTCATTTCCGAGAGATCAAGAGCAATTACATGCTAGGTCCATTAAGAGTCGTTGGTACATCAGATTAAAGGGGCATTAGCTACGATTTACACAAATTTTAAAATACGATTCTTTTTGTTTCAAGTCATAGTATAAAAAGCGGAATTTTGAAATAATATTTCGTTATAAGCAGTCAGTTTGGCCCAAATTTGTCAAAATAGGCTCAAAAACATCACTGATATATTATTTACTTGCAAGTCAATAATTTAACCTCATTGAATTCGTATGCATGTGACCTTCAATTTAACCCTTATATTTTTTTTAGTTAGAGATGAGTTATGCATATACTAGGTGTGTTCAGCTATTAAAAGGAAAAGAATGTCAACATTAAAAGTGAAAGAAGGGTGAACCATTCAGTTGACTGCTTCGTGCTCGTGCACGTGCTCACTATCTATTTATATTTATGTTTATATTGGGTTATACGACTGTCAGCAGTCTTTAAAGGTCATCTCAATGGTTAATTAGATGGCGTCTAGACTAAATAACACACAAAATGCTGATACATATTAATGAGTTAATTGCTTATTGTTTATTTTAGACTTTTTGTAATTTGGATATACGTTTTAGTATGTTATAAATCAATATGAGAATTTGAGTCAAATCGGTGAACATGAAATTGACAGCTTATACTCCTTTAAGGTTGATTTGTGGTTATTCTTGAAGGAAGGAGGTAAAAATTTCAAAGCACCTATAAAGTCAAAATTTTAAGGAAATTCAAATAGAAGGAGCAGGTCATTTGATTTTGGCATTATATAAACAGCAAAAAAATCATCGTTTGGAGAAATTATACGTTTTTTAAAATATAATTAAATTTTTATTTTTTTTGCATGCAGCTTTTGATTACATTACGCGCATTCATTTTACAGGTAACATGTAGGTAAAAATAAAGATAATTCATAATAGATATGACTATAGTTATGAATTTTAAACATATTTGTAAATTTAATATATATTTTCCATATTGAATTCTAAAAAAATAAAAGTGATCATGATAAATCCTGTAATACCTTAAGACATACATGCTAAATATTTCAGAGTAAATTGTAATTTGTTTTCGAATTTTACCGAATTTTAGAAATAAAGACATCAACACCCATGTTATACCGAAATAATAAAGAATTGATTATGTCTACATGTTTCACCACGAGTGGCTTCATCAGGAGGGTTACAATAAGAAGAATTATCCCTGAAGTACATGGTATGTGGACTTCCAGAAGTTGACAAAATCTGAAGTGGTAACAAATAAAATAAATAGAAATGAAAGTAGAAATTGAAAATAGAAATTAAAAAATAAAATGAGTTATTTATAGAATTGTCATTATCTTGTTGATCTGTTCAGGGACTTTCTATACTAACGGGACTTGTCTCTATTGATTTTAATTAAATAACTATGCCTCCCGTGTAAAGCAATAATAAACTTAGTTTCGTATCTCTGATATACAAAGCTAGTAGTTACATGTATTTGCGTACCGTAGAAACTCGCCTATTAGTCAATCCGACTATTAGTCGGTTGCCCTTTTCAGCTCCAAATTCTAAGGATTTAGTCTTGGCCCTCGTATAAGTTGGACAAAATTTGGACATTTTTTTGCAGCTGACAGTTACTGATGAACGCCGGTAAAACCAATGCAAATCCAGGAATTGTATTCATTTTCTGCATGAATGTTTGTTTGGTTTGAATTTAGTTGATGTTGATTATGATAATTTATATTGCTGTTAATAATAAAGATGTATTCATTCCTGTTGTTTTGTTCACTGTTTGAGTAGCCATGTGTTGTTTACGTAATGCATCAATGATTTTGTAGGGTATGACTAACAACCTATTGTTTGAGAAAAGCGAACATAAACCAATATGAACCTGAACAAATTAAAAGTCAATCAATATTTTTCACAGCACACATAACTCAGTGTTAAATGAGCATGTACACTTCATAATTCTTATTATATTGTGATGATTAAAGGATTAAAAAAATTAAGTGAAGCTAATCAACTTTATATTCAAATAACCCCAACTCATCAGTGTCATCTGTTTACCTATCACTGATATTTTTCACACCTTTAGTGAATACAACCTTTTGTCTCTTAATTAGGGGTTATCAATGGATTATATTGGCTTGTCAATCAATTTTGTAATTTTTGTGTTTACCTGAGACATTTTAATAATGAATAATATTTTCATCTTGGGAATGAATCTTAAAATTATTTTTGATTATTGTATGATTTATAAGTATTGAATTGATATCATGATATCACAATAATGACACCATAACGCCGCTGAAAACATCCTTTTACATAAGTTGGTACATTGTTATCTCGTTTTCATTTTTGGTTCTTGGCTCTTTCTTTTGGGTTTATGCACAAACCATTTGACCATGAAAATCAATACACAAACCGGAAACAGTCGGAAATTCAACACGAATTGACAGAAAAAAGTTTACAAAGAACAAATAAAACACAAAGACAGTATTGCAGTCATTTATTTTCAACAAAAACTTTTTATTTAGGGATTTATGTAGGTTTGGCAATCACCAACGTAGTTTTGACCAGGAAATTCACTCCTGACCACTTTTCTCGAGCTTGGATTTTCCCTCTGCTCGCTGGATCTCGTCTATTAGTCAGTACCCCTCTCTGGATTAGGAATTTTACTCCTAATTTTCCGACTAATAGGCGAGTTCCTACAGTATTTATAAGTACATTGTAATTTAATATTTTTTAATATAAAATCAGATTAATAGCCATTTACCATGACAAAAAATATAAGATTTTAAAAGAATGTTTAATTATTTAATTGAGACATATCGTTTTGAAGAACACTCCAGTCGTGCAAAAGGGGTTACATATTGAACAAGATGGCGGCCACTTAAAATTTACTAACAAATACCTAAAAGTTCAAAGGTCTATATTTTAAAAAATATCCAAGAAATCTTTTAAAAAACAGCATTTTGCAATGACAAAATGTATAACATTTCATAAAAATGTTACTTCATTAATGTTGAACATATAGTTGTGTAGAACACTTCCTAAATGTGAAATGATTTGCTATGAAGTCACGTGACATCAGCGACGGTATAAATTGCCAATAATGGGCTGTGAGAAGACGAAATTATTACGGTTGACATACTTGGAAGGCCTGTTAAGAATGATTCTTACAATAGAAATAGGCGTGTAATACACCATTTTAATAGATACTTTAATGTAGATTTACGAAATTTTTCAGTGGGATAGACAACTGCAAAATCGAAATATAACGGAAGTTCGCTACCAGGTGACATTTCTCAAATATACAAGGTACCTTGTGTAACTTTGTGTTATATTAAAGTATATAGGTAATTTTTTTCAGAGACAATCCGCCTCGGACTATATTATGTATATTGATTAATCAAAACGTCTCTCATTGATGAAAAGCAGTCCTATGAAAAAGGTAATCTCATGGTTGCAAAAAATACATTTGCAGGGAAGACTTTTTGTTACAATTGCATCAGTCAGTTAAAGAGCTCATGTTCCTTGTTATTATGTATATATGCAACCCGACTTTAAATGAAAATTACTACTACTACCTACTATCTTATAGAATAATACAGTGACTAGTCAGGAGATAGTCAGATTTGAACGTCTCCATTGTCAGGAAAGAGCGGATAAAGAATTTACTATCACTCAAAACTGTATATTAAAATAAAGGATCTAATGCAACGGGGATCAGCTAACCTAAAGATAAATATTGGCATGGCTATTGTAATGACTAACGTTGCAGGTCAGAAAAAGAATCAGACATTCAGAAAAGTAACACTTTAAAATCATTTCAAAATATTATTTTCATTCTTAATTGTCACCTGCCAAGAAACAACATTCTGAAAATGCCTCCTTACGTGACAAAATTTTCTTTTTGCTAAATAAACAAATCTCCCATTGTATCGTCGGATAAGAAGATCAAATTTATTCCATGGTCAGACATGTTGTAAACTATGGTGGTTGCTGTCCATGTGACATAAAATTTCAAATATAATTGGTTAAAAGTTTAAGTCACATGACAAGATTTGTTAACGAGTTACGCACCTTTTCGCGTAATTTATCAGGCCCGTGTAATTAGATTTGAGCAGTACGCATTTGGACTGAGACTACCATAACACAGAGTAGTCTCAGATTTGGATTAGTATCAAGAAATGCTAAGTCCCTACAGGGACATAACATAGACGAAATATGCCTTTCGATATGGCAAGCCGTTGTGGAATTTATTCCCTAAATCTTTTATTAATATTAAAAAATGATATATATACTAACAGAGACGTATATATGTCTCTGATACTAGTAACTGATTTAAAAAAAAAATTCTAAACGAATGATGAAATATCGTTTGGTGTATAAATAAAAATTTCAATAAAAATATTTTCGTACATTTTAATGCCGTAATAATCTGGGAGAGAATTAAATATTTAATTGTAATTGAGATTAAAAAGGATAAGTTAGTCTAAAAAAATATCCAGTGTATAATAGGTTCCTTTGTGAAATGTAAATATAAAACTTTAAAAATATAAAAAAAATCATTGTAATTTTCAGACTTCTTTTTTTGTTTCGGTCCTATCAAAAGCTTTAATAATAATAATAATAATAATAATAATAATAATAATAATAATAATAATAATAATAATAATTATAAACCAGTTTCCTTTTCTACTCAGGTTATGTATCCAGGAGTTAAGAAGGGCAATAATACTTCTGAGCGGAACAGGACCTGTTAGTCATACATGTAACTCAGGTACGTCCAACGCCAATCTTAATTGACTAAGATAGTCTGTTTTAGTGCATGCAGAATAATTTCAGATAATCGACCATGTAACAGCTAGAAACGTGAATTTCCAATAAAGTAACAACAAATTATGTAGTAAACACATTTAAAATGCATGAAATAAAGCAGCCACTATATCATACTACCAGTGTGAATAAATATTAAACTCTGAAATTATTCTGTTCTAATTTATCGAAAATGGTACTAAATGCCCTAGAATAATCAAAATAAATAAATAAATAAAGATAGAAATCGTATCATGTATTTTTAAAAATAGTATAAAACTAAAATAAAAAGGCAATAAGATAGGATGCAAAGGCACGCAACATTATAAAATTGGTACAGCCGGTTATATCAAATCCTGTCAAAATTTAAGGTAATAAATAAGTTGAAAGTGAAGCACGTGAGGTGGGGGGTGGGGGGTCTCAACCTAAAAATTTGGGTACAGACGTCCGGCTGGGTTTTGAAAAACACCCCCATTGATATATTGATTTAATAAATGCGAAAATCTCTACCCATTCATATACTTCATAAGTAAGTTACAACCTATTTATATATATCTCCCAAGTATCATGACATCTTATTTCAATGAGATGTTAACAAAATGGGATCCGCGATTCATATTATTAGATACAAAGGTCAGATCACAGTGTTTACAGACATCAGAAGATGAACATGTAACATATAAATGTCTACCCATTGACATATTACCTCCGCGAAATTACACCCCATTGATATAACTGACATTCCAAAAAACTGACCCATTCCAGGGGTACGTCTGTGTATATCTTCTATAGGAAGAAACGGCCCTCGTGAAGTGAAGTCTTTCCCCATAACTTCTAAAAGAGACTCGGGCATCCTAACTGAATAATAACTTTAATGCAATTGATTGAATATCGAACGATGAATTTTCAAAATATATTAGAAACTTGAAAGAGCTGTACAAAATATACGAGCTTCTTAGCTTTTATTTTGATGCTGGCACCATAAGCTTAATTTGAAGTTTAGTACAGTTGTTACCAAGTGCATCTGGTAAATTTTCCGCTGCAAATATTTCTCTTGTTAATCATCCGACCGTCTGGGAATTCCGCGTTATTATCTACTTTTTGTATATCATTCTTTAGAAGTCTCGTAGAAATTACTCGTCACATAACACAACCGAATAATCTAGATATATACAAATATTTTCTTATTTCATCGAACGGGTTTTCGATAAATCTGGATGTTACTCAATTATGTATATCTGTCGTAGTTGTTTTACAGTTTCTTATCTTCAAAAATGTTTTACAAAAAATATCAACTTGTTATTGAACAGTTCCTTTTCTAGAAATATGACTTACAAACAATAAATATTTTAACACAAATTTGACTTGCAAATAAATCAACGAATCCAACCATTATTTTTTTGTAGATAACATATTGTTTTGACATAAAAGTTGACCCGCAAGAAGGTACTAACTGTGCCTCCTTTACTGTATATTTCATTTATTGTTAAAAAATCAAAATTTATTCATAAACATAGAAAAAATTATTTTGAAATCGGCATATTATAAATATATAAACATACGCTCCGATGAGCTTTTTGTCGAATATAAAAAAAACATACACTTCCATGTATCAGCTAAAATACCCAAGGTACTAGCAAGCTTGTACCATTATTTTACAACGGACTGTCTGACAATCTCAAAAAACAGTCCATGGGGCATACCCCTGTGTGTAGCTGTCTGGGACACACAATAAAAGATCAGCAGCGGTAAAAATAAAATAAGCACTAGATAATAAAGCATGCATAAATTAAGCACTAGATAGTAAAGCATAAATAAATTAAGCACAAGATAGCAAAGCATAAATAAAATAAGCACTAGATAGTAAAGCATAAATAAAATAAGCACTAGATAGTAAAGCATAAATAAGATATAAGCACTAGATAGTAAATAAAATTGAGAATGGAAATGGGGAATATGTCAAAGAGACAACAACCCGACCAAAGAGCAGACAACAGCCGAAGGCCACCAATGGGTCTTCAATGCAGCGAGAAAATCCCGCACCTGGAGGTGGTCCTCAGCTGGCCCCTAAATAAAATTGTGTGCTAGTCCAGTGAAAATGGACGTCACACTAAACTCCAAAACATATAAATGAACTAAAATTAAAAAACATACTAGACTAACAAAGGCCAGAGGCTCCTGACTTGGGACAGGCGCAAAAATGCGGCGGGGTTAAACATGTTTTGTGAGATCTCAACCCTCCCCCTATACCTCTAGCCAATGTAGAATAAAGAAACACATAGCAATACGCACAGTAAAACTCAGTTTAAAAGAAGTCCGAGTCCGATGTCAAAATAGGTAACAAAAGAAACTAAGCAAAATGACAATGATACATAAATGAACAAAGGACTACTAGCAGTTACTGACATGCCAGCTCCAGACCTCAATTAAACCGATTAAAAGATTATGTCTTCATCATATGAAAATCAAGTACAACCCCCCCCCCCCCCCCCCCCCCCCGTTAGGGGTTTAGTATCATACCATCATAAAATATATGAGAAGAACATAACCCGTATCATGCCAACAACTGGTTTAAGAAAAAATGTGTTTATTTCCGATGCAAAGACCCTATGAGTGAATCAATATTAATACCAAAATATGCAATCCTTAATGACTTGACAACAGTATCGTAACTATATCCTTTCCGAATAAGTCTGTTTAAAGGTTTGGTTAGCTTTTGAGGTGAATGCCGACATTTTTGTGCTTTGTAAAGAATGTTACCATAAAATATTGGATGTGAAATACCTGAACGTATAAGATGTCTGCATGTTGATTTATATTTACGAATGATGTCCTTGTACCGATGATAAAATTTAGTAAATGTTTTGACTTGTTTGTGATATCGAAAACCCTGGTGTAATAATTTTTTCAGTAATACAGAGATTTCTTTCGTTCAAATCAAATACGTTGTTACATACACGAGCGAATCGAACAAGTTGAGATATATAAACACCATAAAATGGCGACAAGGGAATGTCACCATCTATAAATGGATAATTAAAATTAGGAAATGAAAAATCATCTCTTTTATCATAAATTTTGGTATTAAGCTTCCCGTTTAAGATAAAGATATCAAGATCCATGAAAGGGAAGTGTTCATTGTTAGTATTAGCTTTATTTAAAGTAAGTTCGGCAGGATAAATCTTTTTAGTGTACATACTGAAGTCGTGATTATTGAGAGCCAATATATCATCTAAATATTTAAAAGTGTTATTAAATTTTTGAATCAGATGTTGTTTCGATGGGTCGTTGCTGATTTTAGTCATAAATTGTAACTCATAACAGTACAGAAACAGGTCCGCAATAAGTGGTGCACAGTTAGTCCCCACGGGAATTCCGATAACCTGACGATATACGGAATCTCCATAGCGAACAAAAATGTTATCTAGTAAAACTTCAAGGGCAGTTATAGTATCAAAGCAGGTCCAATTGACATAGTTCTTTTGTTTGTTGTTACTAAAAAATGACCTAAAAGAGTTTGAACATATATATTCGCATTCCGACTTTTTAAATGCCCATTTAATCAGGTGTGTGAATTTTTTCTTAATAAGATTACGAGGCAACGTTGTATATAGGGTAGACAAATCAAAACTTTGAACAGATTCGAAATCACCAATATAAGCATGCAATTTATCAAGTACTTCCAACTAATTTTTGACACTCCAAAAGTAATTAATTCCACTATTTTCAAAGGCCAATATTTGAACAATATTAAAGTAAGAATATGTGGTATGATTACGGCAATGAGACAACTATCCACCAGAAACCAAATTACGTAGATTTAAGCAACTATAGGTCACTATACGGCCTTTAACATTGAGCAACATCCATACCATATAGTAAGCGATAAAAGTCATCTTAGTATCGATAAGAACAAAAAGTAAAATCACAAAAATACTGAACTCCGAGGAAAGTTCAAAAAGGAAAGTCCCTAATCAAATGGCAAAATCAAAAGCTCAAACACATCAAACGAATGGATAACAACTGTCATATTCCTGACTTGGAACAGACATTTTCTTGTGTAGAAAATGGTGGATTGAACCTGATTTTATAGATAGCTAAACCTCTCACTTGTATGACATTCGCATCAAATTCCATAATATGTGTCGTTGGGTTGCTGTCCCAATGATGTATATCCTA